ATCCTCACCTGGAAGGAAGCCATCGAGCCTCAGTTGGAGATGGCCGGGCTGATGGGCTTTGCCGCCGGCACCGTGGCGACGCCGTCGGGGAACTACCCCGACCTGCGTGCAGAGTTTCGGGTTGTGCAGCTGCTGACCTTCACAGTCATCTCGCGGTGCTGCTTGCCGAGCGTGCAGATCGCCTTGAAGCTGTGCAGGGACTACGTGGACGCCAGCCACCAGGCGTGGCACTTCATCGAGTCGACGTACCAGGTCACTGATGACCTGTACATCGGCCAGCTCGAGGAGTAGATGACACATCTGCGGATGGTCGACCAGGAGACTGCGACCGACTACTGCAACCGGGCTCGGCGACTTCTCGCCACCATGAGGCTCGCCACCATGAGGATGGCCGGCGTGCAGTACTCGACGGCGTCGTACGTCACCCATGTCCTAAAGGGGCTCCCGAGCAGCTACAACCTCATGAAGCGGCTGTCAGTGGTGCCGAGCATGCGGGCGACGCTCAACGAGGACTCCCTGACCTCGTACATCCTGCGGGATGAGGCGATGCAGGAGGCCGAGCAGTCCTTGGAGCTCCTGCCATAGGCAAACTACGCTGCCCCGGCGAGGCAAGGAGGTCGACCGGGGCAGTCTGGGGGCGGTGGAAGCAGACGAAGGACGCCGACAAGCAGAAGTCGGCTCAGGATGGCGGTCGTGGCAGAGGAGGTCGGCGTCGGGAGTGCTGGATCTGCCACAATCCCGGCCACCTCTCCTTCGAGTGCCCCGACCGCAGTGACTCCGACGACGACGACACCAAGGGAGGCCGAGGGAGGTCGGCCTGGCGTCGCCCTCGTCGGGAGAGTAAGCCGCGCAAGGAGAAGCAGTCGACCAAGTCGTCGACCTCGGCGAAGGACGCCGACCCCCCCTCTGGCGGCAACGGGAGAGGCGACAAGGAGGCGTCGTGCTCGCTGGTCGGCGTCGTGGAGCCGACCGTCTTGCTGGCGCCAGAGGCCGGCGAGGACTTCCAGGCGATGGAGGCAGCTATGCAGGTGAACCCGGCGGTCGTCTTGCTCGACAGTGGCTGCTTGCATCACCTGATCGGGACAAAAGAGGTCTTCGTCGACTTGGGGCCGACCGGCGACGTGAAGCACGTGCGCAGTTTCAACGGGGCGTTGCAGGCCGTCCAAGGCCGGGGCACTGTCGCTCTGCAAGGGGCAGCCGGGAAGCAGGTGCTCATCCCCGACGTGCTCTATGTCCCGGGCGTGCAGGCGAACCTACTGTCCGCCGGCCAACTGAAGGAGAACGGTGTGAAGCTGAAGGAGGACGGCGATGGGATGTTGCTCGTCATGGCGGCAGAGGACGTCCTCGGTCGGGCGTCCTACACCGGCTGGGTCCTCTGCACCGACTTGCGTCCCTGCTCGACGAAGTCGACGTCGACCTCGACGGAGGTGGTGGCTCTGCGGGCGATAGTCTCGGCGACGAAGGCGACCCCGGACAGGCTGCATTCGAGGCTCGCGCACGTCGGCATGGACACTATCCAGAGCTCGGCGAAGCACGAGGTCGCCACTGGGCTGGACCTCAAGTCGACGTCCGGCACTCACTCCCCGTGTGTCTCGTGCGTCGGTGGGAAGCTGGCGCGGCACACCTTCCCTGACAAGGGCTCGAACGCCGAGGACGCCCTGGCCGTCGTGCACATCGACTTGTGCGGGCCGTTCCGGGTGGCGGCCAAGGACGGGAGCCTCTACTTCCTGCTGCTAAAGGACCGCAAGTCCCGCTTCGTGTGGGTGAGGCCGGTCGCCAAGAAGTCCACCGTGATGCGGGAGTTCGAGAAGTGGCTGGTGGTGGTTGAACGACAGGCGGGGAAGCCGGTGCTGATGCTGCGCTCTGACCGAGGAGGGGAGTTCCTCGTGAAGGAGTTCACCGCCTTCGTGGACGGCAAGGGGATCGTCCACGACCTCACCTGCCCCTACACACCGCAGCAGAACGGCATGGCGGAGCGGGAGATGAGGACGGTGGTGGAGTCGGTGCGGACGATGCTGCTGCACATGGGCGTGCAGCATCACTGGTGGCACCTCGCTCTGCGGCAGGCCGTCTGCGTCCGCAACTGCCTTGAGAGGTCGACGCTGCTGCCGGGGACGACGCCGTACCAACTGCTCACCGGGAAGAAGCCCGACTTGTCGCTGGCACGGGTATGGGGCTGCATGGCGCAGTTCTTGATCCCCGAGCAGCAGCACGGTGGGAAGCTGAAGCCGAAGACCAAGTGGGGCCTTCATCTTGGCGTGTCGGAGGAGAGCAAAGGCTGGGAACTCCTGGACGTCGTCGACAACCGGGTGGTCACCACGTCGGACGTGGTGTTCTACGAGACCCTGTCGCTGGAAGTGTGGAAGTCGGAGCATGGGCCGGCGTCGGGGCGGACGCAGGCCAACCCGCCGACGGACGCCTCCATGGCGACCCTCCCTCTGCTCGCCGAGGTCGGTGAGCTCACTGATGAGGCCGTCCGCCCTCTTTCCCCTTCCACTGTCCCCCCTGCCCCTCCCCTTGTCTCCGACCTATGTGGGCTGACTCCGGTGTCAGCCTCCGGCGATGAGGGGAGCAATGAGGCATCGCCTGAGGTGCCGGCCAAGAACATCGCCGGCGGCCGCCGTGACGTCCAGCAAGTCGACGTGAAAGTGACGTCGACGCCGACAAGGGAGAAGCCGGCCGAGGAGGTGAAGCCGACTTTGGTGAAGCGGGCGAAGGAGGCATCAGCAGGACAGCAGCCGACAGGGGAGCAGGCAGCAGCGGAGACGACCAAGGAGCAGTCGGCGACCGTACAGTCGGCAGGGGGGCCGACGACAGGGGAGAAGTTGGCAGGGACACCGACTGAGGTGCAGCAGGCCGTCGAGGGCGGCGAAGCATGTGACGGCGAAGGGGAGCAGCAGGGCGCCGAGGAGTCCACCGACAGCAACGTGGTGGAAGTTCAGTCTGGACCTCGTTGTACAGGCCGAGTCCGCAGGCCACCTGACTTTCTGTCCTACCACGTCTGCCGGGTGCCGACCACCTTAGCCACGATGTACGACGACACGGATGAGCCTATGTACGACGACGCTGAGGATGACGTCGACCTGCCATAGCTCGACCCCGACATGCACGCCGACCCCGAGCACCGCTGGGACATCTCCACGATGTCGGTGAAGGAGGCGTTGGCGAGCTGGAAGGGCAAGGCGGTGAAGGCCGCCATGGACGAGGAGATCCGCAATCTGATCGGCATGGGGACGTGGGAGCTGGTCGAACGCCCACCCGGGGTGAATATCATGAAGAACCGGTGGGTGTTGATGACGAAGTACCGCATCGACGACACCGTCGAGCGCGAGAAGGCGAGGCTGGTCGTGAAGGGCTTCACACATGTGTATGGCGCCGACTACGACGAGACCTACACGCCGGTGAGCAGCTACGTCACGCTGATGATCTTCCTCAGCATCGTCGCCGTCCTCGACCTCAACCTGATGCAGCTCGACATGAAGAACGCCTTCCTGCAGCGCAAGCTCGACCGGGTGCTGTACATGTACCAGCCGGACTACTTCAACGACGGGACCGGCCGGATGTGCAAGCTGCTGAAGAACCTGTACGGGCTGAAGCAATCGTCGCTGTTGTGGTACAAGGCGCTCGACGACGTGCTGATGGGCGCTGGCTGGAAGAAGAGCCAGGTCGACCAGGCGCTGTACTTCAAGGTCGGCGGGGATGGCGTGGCCGGCTGGGTGCTGGTCTACGTCGACGACCTGCTGGCCGCCAGCAGCAGCACGGCCATGCTGAAGGAGCTGAAGGAGCTGCTGAAGGCCGCCTTCGAGCTGCGTGAGATCTCGCCGGTGGAAAGGTACCTCGGGCTGGAGATCGTGCGTGACAGGCCGGCGAGGAAGCTGTGGCTGGACCAGCAGGGCTACGCCGACAAGCTGTGTAGGCGCTTCATCGACGAGGAGCAGATCGGGCGTACCCCGAAGACGCCGGTCTCGGTCGACGCCTACGCCGAGCTGACATTCGTCGACGAGGAGGCCCAGGAGCGCCAGGAGGAGTACCGGCAGAAGGTCGACTCGCTGCAGTTCGCGGCGACGACGACGAGGCCGGACATCGCCTTCGCCTGCAGCAAGCTGGGGAGCGGCCTCACGGTGAGGAGTGACCAGCACTGGCGCGAGGTCGACCGCTGCCTCGCCTACCTCGCCGACACCCGTGACACCGCCCTGGAGTTTGGCGGTGGAGCAGAGTCGCTAAAGCTGGTCGGCTACGTGGACGCCGACGACGCCGGCGACAAGCAGAACCGGACGAGCACGGGCGGCTACGTGTTTGTCTTCGGAGGGGCCGCCGTCTCCTGGTCAAGCCAGCGCATCAAGTGTGCAACGCTGTCGTTGACCGAGTCGGAGTATGTGGCAGCCACTGAAGCCGGCAAGGAGGGACGTCGACTTTGCTTCCTCCTTGCAGAGTTCCGGCAGCTGGACGCCGGGACGCCGACTGTCCTTCGGGTGGACAACAAGTCGGCCATCACGGTCGCCGAGGGCATGGGGTTGACGGGCAACCTCAAGCACATGGAGCGGCGGCAGGCCTGGCTGCAGCACATGGTGAAGCACGGGAAGTTTTTGCTGAAGTACATCCCGACCACCGAGCAGCCGGCCAACGTCCTGACGAAGGCGCTGCACTATCCAGCCTTCAACTGGTGCTCCGTCGCAATCGGTCAGGTGCGCCTGACCGATGTGGGCGACGGTGACAACGATGTGCCATCTTCAGGCTGTGCTTCTTGTCTTGTAGGAAGGTCGTTCAAGAAGAGGCATGGTGGTTGTGTGATGATTGACTTCCATCCGAGTAGTGATGGGCTTTTGACCTGCTGCACACCATCTCTTGCCCTACGGATTACCATGTTGGCCCACTCTACCACTGACATCCTATCAGATCAAACCAGAGGCATGCTAAAAGAGAATGCGTTCTCATTCCTGGTATTCCACATGTACAAGACAGGCAGCAGCAGCAACCCTTTTAATCAAATCATCAATCGCTTAGTACACAACCTGGGCCTCGTTGTCAATGAAATCAACAGACCCAGAGTCCACAGGCCGCATGAAGTAGAGCGCGAGCAGCTCGCCGATAAACGACGCCAGCACAGGGAACCGCTGGACGCTCTTGAGAGCATCGGGCGCGTCGCTCTTGCCAATGTCGACGAGCTTCAGGTTGAGGTCCACGAGCGTGTCGAGGCGGCGCTGGAACTCGGGGTTCTCAACGTCGAGCACGGCGGGGAAGATGCGCGCTGTGGTCTTGTTCGTCTCGATGATCACGTGCATGTTGAACTGCTTCGTGTTCAGGCCCAGACCCTCATAGAACGCCGTACGCTGATGGTCGTTCAGGTACATCGTCACGTACACCTGCGATTGAGTAAGGAGAAAAGCCTATTAGCATCCAGCAAAAAAACACCCCAGTAGAGCAAGGAGAAAGAGACAACAGCAAGAAGGTACTCGGCTGCAACCTAATCTGTCTGCGGATGGAGGCACGTTAGCATCAGCATTGGGCTTACCGAGAGGCAGAAGAAGCGCGCCCAGAGCTTGGAGCTCCAGTCCTGGAGGAACTTAGGGTAACACTTGAGCATGGCGGTGAAGAAGTCACCGTGGCGGTTCTCGTCTTGGCACCAGTTCTCGAACTTCTGGAAGATGGGGTAGCACTGGTACTCGGGGTTCTGGGCCAGGTGGCGCCAGATGGTGATGTAGCGCCAGTAGCCGATCTTCTCGGAGAGGTACGTGGCGTACAGGATGTACTGGGGCTTGAAGAAGGTGTACTTGCGCGCCTTGGTGAGGAATCCCAGGTCCAGGGACAGGTTGAAGTCAGACAGAGCCTTGTTCAGGAAACTGCATACAGCAGACAGAGAGATATGGTTTTTAGGTCACTGAAAATGCGATTCGCGGAGACCAAGGGGAGAAGAAGATGCGTGTGGGTGGACTTACCCGGCATGACGGGCCTCGTCGCGGGACATGAGGGTGAAGATCTCAGCGATGCAGGGGTTGGTTTTCTGCACAAGAAAATCCGACCGACATTGATAAAGGAAATTTAATCCACCTGTAAACATGTTTCGAAACGAAGTGCTGACAAACAAAGACTAGGCTGGAAATGCTGTTACTGAACGCACCTTGAGGCGACGGCCGAGCTCCTTGTAGAGCAGGAAGCCGGAGAACTCGGCTGTGCACGACCGCTCGAGGAACTCGACGAAGATCTCCCTGGAGGGGCCCTGGATCTTGTCGGCGGCAACCTTGAACTCAGGGGTCCTGACGAAGTGAGTCTGGTTGTAGTCCGCCTTGAACTCCTCCAGGCACGCATCGAACTCCGCCTGGTTCAGGTACGGGTTGATGTCCCTGTTGAACAGCTGGAGCAGGGTGGGGAAAGGAATAGAATTAACGATTTTATGTCTAATGCCGCCGACAAATGCGATTACTGCTAGCGAGAATCCTGTAATAATACGCTCTTCTCGGCCCTGTACTGTGGTTCGAGGTAAAGAAATAAGATGCAGCGTCGAGGGTCGTGAAATATACCTTCTCCATCTCGTCGAAGTCGGTGGTGTAGAAGCGGGGGGTGAGGAGCGTCTCCTTGGACGGGTCCTTGGACCCCTCTCTGGGCTTGTCCTTGGCGACCTCCATCGTCACCCGTCCAGCCGCTGCCTTCACGCCGAAGTTGGCCTTCGGGGTGAAGCTAGAGACGTTCACATTCTTGCGGCTAGACACGCCTGAAAGGGACGCCGGCGCGAGGGACGCGCGCGACACGGTAGCCGAAGGGCAAGTCACGGCAGCCATGGCTAAAATTGAAGTTCGAACGGAGTGGCTGAGCTTCAGGAAGAGACACCTCACTTGGTTGTCTCACGAGGTGTATCTGAAAGATAAAGACCAGAGCGTGGTGGTGGTGCTCTTAGGGAGCTCACTGCCTGTGATGTGTTGCTGAAGCGGACTCCGAGGGTCCAGGGAGTGTCGGTTCAGTCACGCCCCTTCCAAGCACGGTTTGCCCCTGAAAAAGTAGGCATTTGCGACGATTCGGGAATGAACCAGATGATGGGGGCTGATTTGGCAGGATGTTATTCGTTCATCGGTTCACTGCAATCTGAACTCATGCTGTAAGTCCAGGTGGCCGGAACCCAGGTGTGACGTCAACACATTCGAATAATCACATTTGAATAAGGGCATACAAGGTAAGTGCACACTACGGCTGTATTCAATCATAGAGAACAGAACATAGTGTCTGAAATAAGCTAAGATGCAACATATTGAAACAAGGTAGCAGCAGATCACATGCACCACGTCCCAAAATGCAACCCAAGATTTTATCTCGAATATAATTACTGTATGATATTATCTTTCAAACTGCGTATTTTCATAATTAAGTAAAAAATACGATTGTTATAAACCCTTCAGTTTTATGCCTTGAAACGTCTCCCTTGAAAATTTAAGCAAAAAAAATCACTAGGTAAACAAGGTGCGAGTGTGTGTGTTACCTCATTAGTGGTGCTCATACTCCATTCATGTGAATGGAGTGTACCTTTTACATTGAAGAGGAGATATGTCATTTACTCAAGCTGATCAAGGCTCGACCCCCAGAAATTAGCGTTATTAGTAGCCATAACCACACGGATTTGTTCTCATGAAGACATCATTGACATGGTCAGGACGAAGCTTTGTTTCTGCTGTCCGTGATGACCGTGTCCTTGCCGATAGTCGCCTGGCATTCGCAACCAGCGTCACTATGACTTAACTTTCGGACCGAATCTGACTGCAAAGAAGCCCGGCGCAATGTTGGAAAGTCTCGTGTTCTCGCTGGTGGGAGGTTACCTCTCGCATTACCTCAAGAACTTCCACAAGGAGCAACTCCGAATAGGAGTATGGCGACGTGAGTCTCACGAACTTAATGTCCTGCTTACGAAGCATTTAGACCGTGAGTCACGTCCCGTTTCGCCCCATTCCAGGTCGCTGCATAGCCTGATTGCACGAGCATCGCCGTATAAGCGAATTCCATGGCTGTTGACGAGTATCGGTTGTTTCACTTCAAAATATAAAAGGTTGACAGACCTCAGATGCACTCCAACAGCGTGTCTTCAGAATTACCTGTCTGCCTTCAGAAGCGGTTTCGTCGTCTGCCTCAGGATGATCGAGTTGTCTTACCTCAGAATTCATTCAGTCGTTTTCCTTCTGAACATTTTGTCTGCCTTCAGGATCAATTCTGTCACTGAGTTGGAATCCAGTCGCCAGGCTTCAGAATTGAATCAGTTGCCTGCTTTTGGGATCATTTCAATCGGCTGCTTCAGAATCAATCTATATGTCTCGCTTCTGGATTGATTGAGCGTCTGGCTTATCAAACCAATTGTCTGCCGACGAAAGCAATCTAGTCGCCTGACCTCAATATTATCTCATTCGTCTGGCTTCAGAAGCAATCCAGACGTCTGGTTTCAGAATTATGCCGGTTTTCTGCCTTCAGAAGCAAAGCCTTCAGAGCCAATCAAGTCGTCTGACCCCAAAATCCAGCACTGACCCCAGAATTCAGTCGTCTGACTTCACAATCAGTCGTATCAAAAGTGTCTGACTGCTGGTGCTTGAGCAGGCGTGGTAAGACTGAACGACCTGGAGATCAACACAGCTGCATTCGACCACCTTCAGTTGCCATTCTCCATTCACCATGGTATATCTGTCATAGCTTCCATGTCTGCACGCACGTCACTCCACATCAAGGACACACCATGCCACCTCATTGTGCTGGGGCATTGATGTTTATCTTTCTCAATCAGTGAATGCCTTGATTTTGACGGTGACATTAAGTGTGTTTCATTTATTGGTTAAAGCTTGTGATTTCCTGCTAAGCTACTGGAGTTTGTGATTTCTGTGTGGTGGCAGGGATGATCGGCAGTCTCAGCCTGCAGCTGTCTATGAAAAGGCTGGGCCGAGAACCATGCGTGTCTGTGACTATCAGCGACGTGCTTATAGTGATGGCACCAAGAGCCGACCATGAGGTGGGACCCTGGATGTTGGCTCCTTGCTATTGCGCTTCAGCAGCGGTCCCTAAACCCGAAATCCCTTTTCTAGTCGTTGAATCAATTTGTTCAGCGTTCCCCAACATTCATCCTTGTCGTTGATAATTCTCTCCCATTGCGTTGGTACTACCTGCAATTCCCTCCTACATCACCTTGTGCGTGCTCCCCTCCCCATGACGTGCTGTGCAGTGGTCGGAGGGCCCAGCAGTGGTGCGAGAGAGAGCCGCCAAGAGGGCAGCATTGGCTGCAGCCGAGGTGGTCAAGATGTCAGAGCAGGGTGAGGTGATGTCAAGGCAGGGCGAGATGATGTGAGAAAAGTTTCTGTTCGGGGAATGTGAGGTGAGGCTCCTCCTTCCTATTCATATGTTTTTCTGTACGATGAATGAAATCTGCTACTGGCTGATTGCTTGGCTGATTGCTCAACTTGTTACGCCTCAGCAGCGATTTCTTCTCTGTGCTCTTCTGTTTCTTCTCTTGCATACCACCGCATCGTTGCTCCCAGGTAATGGAGTCGGGGCGTCGGCAATATCTTACTTCTCAGCCATGGTGAGACTCCTCCCACTGATTTTCTCCCTCCTGCCATGCCAGGAAGTCTGCACCTCGCACATGCACCCATGTTCCATGTTACAAGTCCATTAGCCTGCACGTCACACAGCATGCAAAATAGCATATGCAGACTTCCATTACTGCCTTACTCACTCACCCTTTTTGTTCGCCACCATGCTGCTGCTTCTGCCACATCGTCTGCCGCAGCCACACCATCACCCCAGCACGTCAGCTGCTTCTTCCATCCATCTTGTGTCTTTCCCTTGCTTATCCCGTATCACTTGCCTCGCTTTTCTTGCGTCACCTGCATTGACAGGGATTGAACGCTCTGGAGGTGTTGGTGACATCCGTGCATGTCAAGTACACACACTCCTCCTCCGACCCCAAAGTTCGTGCTCCGCTGCTTCATCCTGCTGCCTGCACCCTGCCTGCCATGCCGTATACCCTTTACAACAACATTCACATGCTCACCTGATTGGCTGACTCAGTGTTTCTCCTGCACCTTTCCCACTCTCTACTGCTTTCCCGCACTCATCTCATCTGTCCTCCTCATGCCCCTGCTTCCCTTCCCGCCCTTTCCTCCTCTCCAATCACTGTCCCTCTCTCATCTCCATTCTCTTGCAGGCGGCCTTTGAGTTTGGTCTCCACCTGGACCATCTCTCTGTGGCCGCAGCTGGCTCCAAAGATCCCCTTGCTGCTGCCGCCGCCGCTGCTGCAGACGCCATTGCTTCTGCATCCGCCACTGCTCTCAACACAGCCCCTGCTGCTGGTGGTCCTGCTGCTGCTGGTGGCCCTGGGTCGACTGCTTCCTTCTTTGTGCCGCCAGACAACCAGACTCCCACAGAGAAGCTTCTGGAGCAGCAGTGGGAGCAAGAGGCTGGACAGGGGCAGGGAGGGGGGCAGGGGAAGCCACAGATAGGGGACGCGGACAGGAAAGGAGGGGCAGGGAGAAATTTGAGGAAGAGCTTTGAGGTGCGGGGGTTGTCGTTTTACTGGAATTCCCGCAAGAGAGGGTTCGAGGGGAGTACAGCCGGACCTACGGAGCAGGGAGGTGGGGAGGGGAGGACAGGGAAGGAAGGGGCAGAGGGTGGAGAGAGATGGAGGCAGGGAGGAGCAGTGAGGGGTGGTTCAGGAGAGAGGGGAGGGGAGGAGAGCATGGATACGGGCATAGTGTGGGGAGAGGGTGAGTTGGTTCCCAGCGATGAGGAGGAGGATGGAGGGATGGGTGTCAAGAGGCAGAGGCGACGAGGGTTGGATGAGCAGCAGGGAACAGGAAGGGAGCAAGGGAGAGGCAAGGGAGAGGATGGAACAGCAGCAGTGGCGAACAACATGCTGCATCCGTTGGATGCTTCCATCAGACTTGTGGTAAGGCATGCATGGGTTGATAAGATGGCTACATTCGCTAACAATAATGTTGCACATGGATGGCAATGGTGGCCTTTCTCACAGTGGTTACAAGTGCATGGCCTCGTTGTTGGCATTCTACCTGTCATCTGCCTGTTCTTGCTGCAATCGCCTCTCACTTCTCACGCCGCCGTGTTTCTCATTTTTCATCACCACCTGGTGTTGTCGTGCTTCTAACCCTGCTCTGTTCCATCCCTTCTGCCGCTCCAGATGCATATAGGCCCGCCTGTGCACACAAGCACTGCTCCCGTGTCTGTCTCTCTCCGTTGCAACCGCCTGGTATGTTGAAATCACCTGATCTGATGTCCAGCAACCACCTAACTTGCACCCATCACAATTATGGAAAGCGTCTAATTTTTACATATTCTTCATTCATTGCGTGCCTTCTCTATCTCCCATGCCCCTGTACACTTTCCACCTCCCCCTTCTGTTTCCCTCTCTTTGTCAGCGAGTGTCCCTGGAGGAGCACCAGTACCAGGACGTGCTGCTGCTGGCAGATGCCCTCAACGTGTTACGCCTCAGAGAAAGGTCAAGCTTTCGCATCCCTCTGTCACCATGCACACACACATTGACACCATTCACACATCTCTCTGTGTGCTGCATGTTCCCTCACCCACTTTTTGCCTGTTTCTCGTGTGCAAAATTGTCTCTCTGCAGGTATGGCCGCTTTCGCCCTGCGGCCTTGTTCTCTTCCTCCCAGACCCCACCAACCAATGGCACCACCAAACCAGCCGACAGCACGGGGGACCAGCAGGGCGGAAGCAGCAGAGTGGGCAGCGAGAGAGTGCGCGCATTGTGGTCATACGCGCTCAATGCCGTGCTCTTTGATGTGCGCCAACGCCTCTACCGCCGCTCCTTCCTCTACCTCCCCTCCCGCCTGTACGTCCCTTCCTCTCCAACCGTTTTTTCCTCTGCACCCTTCCTGCACCACCCTCCGTCCATACACCAGATGCCTGCTCGTCCCATTGAATTTCCTGGTAAACCACTAATCTGCTTCCGGGTACTTTCTGCTCTCGTGCTCTCTCCCCTTTCGCGTGCGTTCTCTTAACACACTCCTCTGTTCCTTCCTTGCTCCAACCCCACCATTGTTACCACGACACCAGAGCAAAGCGACGGCAATACACGGCCTTGTACAAAAGGAAGCTGGAATTGTTGCAAGACCTCCCTGTAAGCACGTTCCTCCTTGTGAAAGCCCTTTGCACTTGACTTATACTTGCTGCGTCTTGGTCCACGTTTTTTTTGTTTCGCTCGTATGTATGTACAAATATATTTTTAGTACGTACATGTGTGTGTGTGTGTGTGTGTGTGTGTGTGTGTGTGTGTGTGTGTGTGTGTGTGTGTGTGTGTGTGTGTGTGTGTGTGTGTGTGTGTGTGTGTGTGTGTGTGTGTGTGTGTGTGTGTGTGTGAATGCAGGTGGAGGAGAGGCAGCAGCTGGAGGAGATGGAGGACGAGCTGGAGCTAGAGGACATTCTCCTATTCCGCACAGCTGCCGCCCAGGTGTGTCGTGCCTTCTTCCTCAGTGCACCGCTCGCCTCCGGGCTGCACCGCTCGCCTCCAGGCTGCACCGCTCGCCTCCAGGCTGCACCGCTCGCCTCCGGGCTGCACCGCTTGCCTCCAGGCTGCACCGCTCGCCTCCAGGCTGCACCGCTCGCCTCCAGGCTGCACCGCTCGCCTCCAGGCTGCACCGCTCGCCTCCAGGCTGCACCGCTCGCCTCCAGGCTGCACCGCTCGCCTCCAGGCTGCACCTCTCGCCTCCAGGCTGCACCGCTCGCCTCCAGGCTGCACCGCTCGCCTCCAGGCTGCACGCATGACTTGCTCATGTTCCCCTTTCTGCCTCTCCAGCCGTTTCTGGCTCCCCAACTGACATTGTTTCTTCGCCCACACTTCCCCCCTCTATTGTCTTCTCCCATTCCTAACTGCTTTCTGCAGCGTGCTGCCCGCACAGAATGGGGCAACCCATCCGCTTCAAAAGACTCAGCTGAAGATTCCTCTGCAGAGAAAGACGGGCGAGGGGACCGGCGCAAGGGTAAAGCAGCCCAGCAGAAGCAGCAGCAGCAGCGGAGGGGGAGGGGGTGGTTGAACTGGTTGTCTCAGGGCATGCTGGGCGCTGGTGGCTCTGATGCGTCTGCAGCAGCTGACGTCATGGCTGCAGTCAGTGACCGTGACTTAGAGGAGCTCTATCGCACGCTGGACTCGCCCTTTGATGCTGCTGACGGGGATAACGGGCTGGATGAGCCTTCCTGGATGTCCACATCAGCATCCACGTCATCATCGGCATCTATGGCCATGGACGCCACGTCAGCAGTAGCACCCAGAGCCATGAACAGGAGCCGCTCCTCTGTGCACACTCTTTCATTCTCTGAATCCTCTTCTTCGCTCGACGCCTGCATTCCCGAGGACTCCAGTGTGATGGGGCCCTCCAGCCGAATGTTCCCTGAGGCGTCTCAGAGGGCGACTCATGGCAGGGCAGCAGTGTCGGTGTGCTGCCTGGCGTTCACTGCACAGGTGGCAGACGGTCATGCCTCCCTGCGGAGCTCGTGAGTGCACACTTCCGAACCACCTCTGCACTTGAGTCCTCACTCACTTGCCTCTTCACTTCTCTGCCCGCTTAAAATGCTCTCACCAGCACAACACTACCCAGCCAGCTTCCTCTGTTCCTGGTCCTTTCCACCCTCCCTCCCAGCTACTCTCGGCGGGACATTCTGAGCCTCAGGCTGCGAGGCCTGCTGCTCAACTCACGAGTGTGGACCAGCTCTTCCTCTCTCTCCCTCACTCTCTCCTCTCTCGAAGCCTTCGACCTCTGGAGCACCTCAGGAGCTGCAAAGGGCACACTTGACGCCTCTGCTTCGTTTGCCGGACCAGGCTCTCAGGGCATGCGAGCGGGCGTAGGCATGGGAGGAGGCGTAAGCAGTGAAAGGAGACGAATTTCTCCATCCTCCTCTCAGGAGGATGAGGCCGTCAGGATTCTCTTTCCACAGGTAAGCTTCTCTGTGCGTGTGCCCCCATGCACCTTTTGCAACTAAACTGCAGTGCCCAGAGTTTATGCGCGTGTTTTACTCCTGACCTGTCCCTCTCCCTCTCAATGTCACCCACCCTCTCCCTCCCTGCAGCTCCCGCACTCCTCACTGCACGACTTCCTCCCTCCATCCCACCCGTCGCACCCCTCCTTCCACTCCGCAGCCTCCTCCTTCGCCTCGCCCTCCACCGTCTCCTCGCCCTCCCCAGCAGGCCACGGCCATCTGCTGCTGCGCTCTGCCAGTTCTGCCTGGGGCCTGGGCCGCCCAGCCCTAGGGGCGGGCCTGGGAGGACCTGTGGGGGGCGGGGGGAAGGGGCAGATGCTACCACGTACTGATTCTCGCGTGGGGTTGGGGGTGGGGGTGGGGACGGATGGGAGGCTGGGCATGCTGCTGGGAGCAGGTGCTGGGATTGGGTACCCGGGGTCACATGCCTATCCCCATGCCAATGCGCCTCTGGCAGGGCATGGCTATAGTTCTGCACACATGGGCATGGGCATGGGCATGAGCATGGGGGTGGGCAGTGGAGGTTGGGCGAACATGCGACGTAACCAGTCAGCTCTGGGTATTGGTGCGTTTGCTGCAGCAGAGCATGCGGTTGCTATGGGTGGTGGGGGCGAGAGAGGCATGGGAGGAGGCGGTGAGATGGGAGGGAGGGGCTATGGGGGTGAGAGTGAGATGCATGGGTGGAGGCCTGTGGAGCAGATGCAAGCTGTGGTGGCAAGACCGATGCTGCGGGTGGAAATCGAAGTGCACTCGCCACATTCTCATGGGCATGGGCATGAGCACGGGGATGGTGGAGTGGGAGGGGATGAGGCAGAAGGCAGTGCGGCCAATGAAATGGAGACAACAATCTCGGTGAGCCCTCTGCTCCCGTCACTTACCTGCCGTCAACTCAACTCTCAGCCCTGTTACACCACCGCCTCTTGCGACTACCGCCTCCTGTTGCCACCGCCGCCTCCTGTCACCCACTTGCTCCCTGGTTTCCACCCGCTCATCTTAATGCGTGATGGCAGGTGGCAGTGGAGCCAGTGCAGGTGGTGGTGGGTGTGGAGGTGCTGAAGCGGGTGGCCATGTTCTTCAGCCATCCCACGACCGTGCCCACCCACCAAGAACAGGTGAGTAATGAGTCAGCTTTAGCCACATCCCTTGCAACGAATGGACAGTCATGGTGTGTATCGTTTTTTTTCACAAGATCCTGTTTCCGCCACGCCACCCATGCCGTGTCACCCTATGTCCCGCCATGGCATCAGGTGATTGCGTCCATCAACTCGCTGGACTCAACGACTGCTCGAGCCACAGCCAAGTCTGGGTGAGCTGCACTCATTCAACTCAACCATTCCCTTCCATCTTGAGAAAGCTTGGAGCTCTGCCTGCACTACAGCAATCCATTCATTCCTCTGCTCTTCCTGCCCTTCATCCCTACCGGTTTTCTCTGCCCCTCTTTTTCCGTCACTTCTCCCGCCAGCCTAGTGCTAGCCACGCGCAAGGTGCTGCATCTGCATGTGGACGTGGCAAGCGTCACGATCGTTGTTCCGCACGCTGACACATACCTCTCTGCCCGCCCCTGCCCCCTGCTGGTAAGCTTGATTGCTGTAATGCCAAGGCCAGAGAGCGACCTTTGGTGAATGCTCTCTGAAATCGACAGAAGCTACTCCGAGTTACTATGCCATGTGCCTGCACTGGTTCCCTTCGGAAACCTTATGTTCACACCCTTGCCCTTTACTCTCTTCTTGCTTCAACCCCTCATATATCCTCATCCCCTTCCCCTGCCCTTATCGCACCCCCCCTCCCCTGGAGGAGTGCAGGGGCTACAGCTGGCGTCACTGCACATCTCGTCCATCCCTGAACCCCCTGAGCGGTCTCTCCTTGCACAAGCCCTCGCCTCCTCAGGCAACCTGCGATCAGCACTCTCCGTCCTGGGGGAGAAGGGCCTGATGGGCGGGAGTGACGTTGGTATGAGAGGAGGAACGGCAGAGGATCAGGGGCCGGCAGCAGGAGTTGAAGTGGAGAGAGGAGGGAGAGAGGAGAAGGAAGGAGAGAGGATGGGGGGAGTGGGCGTTGGAGGTATGGAAGGAGGCACAGGCAGCGGTACGGACGCTGGGCATGCGGATGGACAGATGGGAGGGGGAAGGACGGGAGGCGTTGGGAAGAGAGGCATGGCGGAGTGGGTTCAGAAGATGGTGCTATTTGACAGTGTCGCAGTTAGAGCCGCTGCTGTCAAGGTCCGTCCGTCGCTCCTCCCTTCTCTTCTGCTCTCTTCCCTTCCCTTTGTGTCCTGTGCTGTACTGCGTGCCTGCCTTTCCACCCTTCTCCAAGTCCCTCTCGCACTCCCTTTGCTGCCCCCTGCCTGCCCCTTCCTCGCAGGTATTTCTGGTTCCACCGCCCCCTCGCACAGCACTACCCACACCACCGGCCCCACCAGTCTCCCACCCGTTCTGGCCAGGCTTGCCCCCAGGTGCACTGGGGGCACCAGGGAACATGTGGATGGGCGGTGGTGGTGGCAGCAGCATGGCAGGATCGGGCAGTGCAGGGGAGGGTGGCAGCGAGAGTGGCAGAGAGCTACCGCTAGTGGAGGAGTTTTCCGTCCACCTGCACCTGCTGCTCTGCGCTCTCTCAGGCGACCCTGCCACCACCAAAGCTGTTGTGAGTGCTGCCCTCCTTCCCACTTTACTCCACTTCACCAGCTTTCCACCTCACTCTCATTCCCCTGCAGCACAGCCCTTTACCTTCCGCGTCCTGTTCCTCCAGTCTCAGCTCCTTGCTTCTATCTTCCTTCTGATGTCACCCTCGCCGTTCCCTTCCTCTCTGCAGGTGCAAGGCAGCATTCCGCACATCTCCATCATCCTCTCCCTCACCAACCTCCGCCTCCTCCTCTCCATCCTCTCCTCCCTCACTCCACCCCCATCCTCCCCGCCTCCTAAACCAGCACACCAGCCATCCTCCTCCGCTATCCTCTTCCCTCCCACCACCTCGTCTTCCCAAACCCCTCCCCACGCTGCCCCCTCCAGCAGCAACAACCCTCTGCTTGCCTCAGGGCCCATAGCTGTCCCACATCGCGTGGGGCAGCTGCAAGGAGGAACGGGGGGTCAAGGTGCAAGGAGGGGGATTGCAGGTGAGGCAGGAAGCGGGGGCGGTGTAAGGAGTGGCAGCGGGGGGATGACTTCTACTCCCTCTTGGTCCGAAATGCTTCACACCATTCTGCAGCGTGACGCTGCCAAGGTGCCACATCAGCTTCTGGCATCGCCCGATCTAGAAAACACCGGGCTTTCTTTGCTGCTACAGCAGCAGCAGCAGCAGGAGCAGGGGGACGCTGGAGGGGACGAAAGTGGGACTGTGAATGAGGGTGGTGGCAGCAGCGGCGATGGGAAAGCTGGAGGAGGAATAGGGGGTTTGAGTCGGGTGCAGTCACGGAGGGTGGCAGTGGCGAGTGGCATGGATGTATTAACAGGCACGCCCATTTCCGATGCAGGAGTGTCAGTGGGCAAAATTACAGTGCGACTGGACTTGAGTAGCTCTTTGACAGAGTTGCATGGTTCCAGCAGCAGCAAGCGCAGCAGGGCTGGGCAAAGCAGGGGGTCTGCAGGTGGGGGGGAATCAGGAGGCCACGTGATCACTCTTGAGGCTACTGGCTTGGACGTCCGGTGAGTGAGCCCTCTCGTCGTACCTTGCATCCTGCCTTGTGCGTTGCACCTAGGCTCTTCCTTCTCAGTTGTTAACTCCTACTGTGCCAATTGCCCGGTTGTGTGTGTGCGTGCGTGCGTGCGTGCGTTTGTGCGTGTCTGCGTGTGTGTGTGTGAGTTTATGCATGCTTGTGTTCATGCCTGTATGTATGTATGTGTGGGTGTGTGTGTGCGTGTGTCATGTCCATCTGTGCGCTGCCATGGAGCCCCACCACAGCCTGGTTCAGAGGCTACTCGAGGAGCGCGTCTATGCCACTCTGCACCGCATCCAACTCACCGATTCCTCGCGACCGCTCTCCTGCCCCACCCACCACATCATCCAAACGCACCTCCCCCCCTCGGCCAACCCAACCCTGGGTTTCCCTACCCTTGCTACATCACACCCTCCCACACCCGCCTCCATGCCCCATTCCATCCTCTCCTCCCCTTCTCTCTCCTTCCTGCCGGCCCCATCACCACGACTCTGGCTCTCCCCACAAATGCTCTCAGGTTTCTACACCCAAACAGACCCCTCGGCTCCCCACATGCTCGTCTCCCGTGTCCTTTCCGCCCCCTCTCTCCCCGCGTGCCTCTCCTTCTCTTCGCTGCCCATGCCCGCCATACCAACTGCTGGCCAGGCAGGGCCTCCCATGGGAGCAGCACTGGGTGGTGGAGCACTGGGTGGTGGCCAATCCTCAGCAGAAAATCCTGCCAGCACTGCTCACTGGCTGGGAGGAGAGAATGTAGGCTTGGCAGGCGTATCTGTCCCAGCCACTTCGGGAGCAGTGGCAGTAGACGGGGCAAGGGCAGGGGAGTGTGTGTTGCGTGTGGAGTTGTGCCTGAAATCAAGGGCGCTGACTACACCCTCTCGTGACTCTACGTCCCTCTCCTTCCACCTCTCCTCCCTCCACCTCACCGCCTTCCAACCCACCCTCCTCGCCCTGCTAGCCTTCTCCTCCTCCCTCTCCACCCCCACTCCCCCCTCTCCCTTCTCCGCCCTGCCAGGCAGTGGAGGAAGCAAGAGGCACCACTCCCAGGGCAGAGAGGGGGGGAGTGGGCTCATGGGAACACACCCCTCTGCAGACCTCTCGCTCTTTGAGAGCCCCTCTAGCTCCTTCTCCTCCGCTGCCTCCTCGCCCTTCAATTCTCCCCCGCCCACTACGGACGCTCTGCCACCGCCAGCAGTGCTGGCTGCTGGTCCGCTGGGCATGAGTCCGCAGAGGTCCAGGGGGCGGGTTGGAGTGGGACGGCAGGGGATGGAGAGACAGAGTGCACGGGTTGTGTTTGAGAAGGTGTCTGGAGATGATGTCACTGACGGTGCTGCTGGTTCTGGGGGTGTTGCCTCAAACGATGGTGGCACTGCCACTCAAACAAGTTCCTCTCTGCGTCCTGCTCCCACCCGCGGCCCATCCACTCACATCGTTCTGCCTGCTCCTGACAACTCAGGTGCAGGCGGCACAGAACTGATTTTGGACGGCAGAGTAACTGGACTGGTGGTGCGTCTGATGGAGGAGAGGGACGAGGCAGCACTAGAAGGACTGAAAGGAGGAGCAGAGGAGATTCATGGGATGGCAGGAAGGAAGGATGGGGAGGGGAAGGGGCATGTGGTGGAGGTGGCAACTGCTTCGCTGAGTGAGGCATTGGTGCAGGCAGATGTGAAGCGTGTGATGGGCCAATCCATGCCTGCCACGTGGGCATCCTGTGGGCGCATCAGTGGGTTTGAGGTATGGGGCCCTGTGGGTAACGGGGGGTGCTATGTCCCTCATCTCCCTGCAGATCCTGCGTCTACTACCCCACCAAGCACTTCACAACAGCAGCAGCAGCAGCAGCAGCAGCAGCAGCAGCAGCGGCAGGTGATAGTGGGCAGTGTGTGGACGCCAGGAGCACAGCCCGGCACTGTAACCTTTGCAGCCCATGGCGCTCACACAGGGCTATCTGGGGAGGGCGTGCCTGGGGCAGGCGCCACTCTGCATGTGGATGTGGCCGTCTCCCGGCTGCTGCTCGTGGTCTCACAGCCATTCACACACGGGCTTGTGGGGCATGTCACACGCTACCTCCCTGCCCCCTCCTTGCCTGCTCCCTCAATCCACACTGTTGCTAGGAAAAGCGGGGAGGCTGCATCGGCATCGCCACTTGCACAGCATGGTCGGGAGAGGGGGCAGCAGGAGCAGCAGTCACAGCACGCAAGTTTCGCTTCTGCCACTAGCCCCTCACCCTCTCCCCACATCACACTCCCTGCACGCACCCCTCTCTTTATGTCCGTCTCTTCTGATTCCCCGTCTCCATCCAGCCACCACACAGGAAAGGCCAGAGCAGCCCGAACTACCATTGCTTCCCCTGCCACCACCCGTCTCTCCCCATCACCTTTAAGAGGGGGGATTGCTGTTCGGGGGGGTGGGGTTGTGAAGCAGCTGAGAGGTGGAGGGTCAGCAGGATGGGCTGGTGGGGAGGGGCGGACCATCGGGAGCAGCCAAACCAGCCCGCTGGGGGTGAAAGGCAAGGGGAAGAGGGAGAGGGGGGAGGGGGGGAGTGTGGGGGGGCTGGGGAGTGTTGGGGGGGCGGGGAGTGGGTCGGGAGAGGGCGACAGCTGGTCAGGGGCTCAGTTTTTTAGCCCTGTGGGGGATAGCCCACTGAGATGGGAAATGGTGGAAGAGGGGGGTGAGGCGGAGGGCGGAGGGGAGGAGTGGGGGCAAGGGCAAGGGAGAATGAGAGTGGAGGGGGCTGTGAGGGTAGAGGGGTGTGAGATTGCTGTCATTCCCTTAGGCCAGACTCAGAGCTTGCTGCAGCCATCAGCAGCCAATCAGCTGCAGCCACGTGGATCGAATGGGATCGTACCAGCAACGACATCAGGAGAGTGGCGAGACCATCCGTGCCTTATCATTGAGCTGCCTCTCATCACTGCCAACCTCCCACGCCACGTGGCATGCTGGGATTGGTCCTCGTCTGGCACAATCACATGGCTGGATGGGAGAGCGGAGCAGGAAACTAGTGGTATAAGTGGGGGAAGAGGCAGCGGGGAGGGTGAGAAAGGAAGAGAGAGCACGGTGGGTCAAGACAGGGGTAACGAGGATGAGCAGTGGGAGGCGGTGGAGGTGAGGGTGGAGGGATTCAAAGTGAGCATGGCCACAGGCAAGCTGCTTCCGCTTCGTGAGGTGGTACCTGGTGGGGGCGCATGTGGTGCAGGGTGGGAGAACGAGGAGGTGGGGTGGGTGGGGGAGAGAGTGCCTGTGGTGCAGCGAGTGGACGTGCTGCTACACGTGGCACTGCCACAGGCTGCTGGGGGCAGCAGCCAGCCCGGTTCTGCACTGCAGGGCGCGGCACAAGGAGTGGGCGTGGGATCTGAGGCAGCATCAGGGATGGTGGAGTCAGGAGGGGAGGTAGCAGTGATGGGCAGCCCGCATGAGTGGATGCGAGTTATGGTTCAAGTGCCCACGGTCCAACTGCTCCTCATGGGTGTGTGTGCAGCGTGTGCCATAGCTTACTATTCCGTTGTTGTGTGGAAATCACCAGTTCTGAATGCTAGATAGAAAATCCAACGACAAAACAGATCAATAAGCTGGCTCTAATCTGCTGCATTGGCTCTAATTTTCTCTGTCCATTCTCCGTGTGTCATTCACATTCTCTCTCCTATTCCTATTCCCTTCCAACCAGAGAATTCCCCTGTAAGGGAGGCGGACCTTCTCTCAGGCTCCATCGCCGCCCTGCTCGCCCTCATCCCGCCCCAGCCCCCCCCCCAGCAGCCCTCCCCTCCCATTGCCCTGAGATTCCACCTGCACCACCTGCACCTGCACATCACACGAGGCACAACCTCCCTCCCATCCTCCCCTTCCTCCTCCGCTCATGGCGCAACCCCCTCGTTCCTTCTTCCCCCTGGCCCTCTCATCGCCCTCCTCTCCATCGATCATTTGCGCTGCGCTGCAGCGCTGCAACCATCTGGCCAATCCGTGAAGGCCACGTGGCAGAGTATTGCCCTTTGGGGCTTACAGGCAGGGATGGCAAGCGCTTTCCAACAGCGTGGTAGTGCTGCTGCAGCCTCAGCCAGTGGCCAGGCAAGGCCGCCACCTGCCTTTTCACAGGAAGGAATGGCAGCAGATGCACAAGCAGCAGCGGAAGCAGCAATTGGAGGACCATCACCAGAAGGGGCGAGGGCAGGAGGATTTTCTGCAGGAGAGATTTCAGCGGCATTGCTGGAGTTTCTGCAAGTGGCTGTGCCTCTCTTTGTGATCGAGTGTGAGAGGGGCTGTTCTGTGACTCGTGACGCTGCTCATACCCACCTGTCTCCGTACCTCGCCATCTCCCTCTCCTCCACCTCAACCCCACCCTCACCCCATTCCCTTCCCACCACCGCTGCTGCACCCCTCTCCCTCGCTTGTACTCCATCCCCCTTACAGTCCCCACATCCCCTTTCTCAACCACTGGCAAGCCTCTCGCTGCTATCCCAAGAACCGCCTTCCACCCCAGTGAACATAGCAGTCCCAGCAGCAGCACCACCAGCACAAACACGTGGTGACCCCCATAACAACACCCAGGCTATACATGCAACTGTTCAGCTCCCTTCCCCCATTCTCTGGGCCTTCCTCCCTGCCTGGTCTCGCCTCGCCGCCCTGCTTGCTGCTAAGGCACCTAAAGGAGGCGACACAGGAGGTGCGGAGGCAGCAGCGGGTGGGCGTGCAAAAGGCGCTAGTGAAGCAGGCGTGGGAGAGCGGCAGGTGATTGGAAGGAGACGAGGGACGGACGTCAGGGGGGGAGCAGAGGGGCTGACGGGGATGATGGGCGTGAGGCTGGGTGAGGCCAGTGGCAGTGTGGGCCATGGTGATATGGAGGGGTTGCTGTGCGCGTCTCTCGAGGAAGGGGCGAGTGGGGGAGCAGAAGGGGAAGCAATTGGCGTTTTGGTTGGTGAAATCGGCACAGGCAGTGATGGTGGTAATGCAGCAGCAGTAGCTGTGGCAGCAGAAGCAGCAGCGCGTGTGCATTTGAAGGTGCATGCAGGTGTGAAGGTGGATGGAATCACTCTTGTGCTTCCCAGTCATAGCACCTCCCAGCGCACCACCCAGGGTGCCTCGCAGCACACCCCTCCCTCTGCTCCTCACACCGGCACCCAGCAGGCAGCACAGCATCAGAGGGGCGCAGGCACCACAGCCCATCACTTCAGCCCAGGTATATTGCCAGGGGAGTGTGGCAGCAACACGGAGTGGTGCAGTGCGGTGGTGGTGCGTGTGAGGACTGTGCACTCCCACGTGCAAGCCTCTGTACCTGCCAGTACTAGTCTCAGCAGAGCTGAGCTCTCTGCTGGCCTGCACTCTGTGGAACTTGCCTGTGTGCGCCGCCTTGGCTTGGGGCATTCTGGGATGGGCCATGGGGACGGCAGTGGTGATGGCAGTGCTGCTGGTGCTGCAGACCTGTTCACGCCTGACTCGCTTCATCTCCCTCCGGCCTCCCTCAGTGCTGCTTCCTTGCCTCCAAGCTCCAACCCTTTCTCCTTCCGCCTTAGCTGCTTCCTGCCTCCTCCTACAGATGCTCCTCCACCTGCCCCTGCCCCTGCATCTGCCCCAACCGCATCCAACTCACCATCTGTTCGTCTGCCGCCTCCTCCTCCTGCCTCGATGCGCGTGCTGCAGCTGGCAGGGCTGCAGGTGCGACTGGCAGCGGCTGCTGCTCCCTCGGGCAGTGGAACAGCGATGAGTGCAGATGGGCTTGATGCTGGTGCTGGGAGAGTGGAGGAGGAGGGGGACGGCGGGTCGGGCAGAGTAAGAGAAGAGGGAGGTTCAGCATTAGGGAGATATGCAGAGGAGATACGTGAAAACAACATCACGGTTTCTGGTGGTGGTGTTGGTGGTCGCAGCAGTGCACTTGGCATGATTTGCCTGAAGGATCTAGTGGAACTGGAGAGAAGGGAGCAGGAGAACGTAGGTGAAAATAGAGAGGGTGGTTTTGGCGTTGAAGGGCATGGTGTTGAGAGGCACACACCAGCCCCACCACCACCACAAACAGCAGCATCAGCTGCAGCTACCACTAGTAACTTGGGCACGTCTCCCTTCACCCCACATGCCACGCTGGCTTTCGCTACTCACGTGGCACTGGGGCGAGTGCATGCTCGCTGCTCGCCTGAGATTCTGCACTTCCTCACAAGCTTTCAGGTGCCAGGGCAGGCATCATCTGGGCAGGCTGTATCTGGGCAGGCAACATCTCGCCAAGGGATCATAGAAGGCAGCAATGGCAAAGGCACAACACAGAAGAGGCGGCAGCAAGAAAGTGCAGCACTTCAGAGCAGCAGCAAGGAGGGTCACAGCAGTAGCAGTGGCAGCACAGTGTGCGATGCGTTGGTGGTTGTGGGCGTGGAGAGCTTAGTGGCAGTGGTGGCGGAGAGTGAGGAGGACAGCGAGCCCCTCTTTCACCTCTCCCTCAGCACCACAGCAGGCCACGCCCTTGCATGCCTGCCCAGTGGCCACCTGCACGCCTCTCTTGCTACCACTCTCGCTCTGCACTATCTCAACCAGGACAAGGTGGGTGGTCACTGGGAAACAGAGCTCGCAGCAGCGCGAGATAAAACAGCCGTAGTAGTAAGTCTTATTTGCCGCCAAACTCCACTACCACCTCTTTGTCCCTATGGCCTTGAAGCTGAACACACACTGCTTTTCATTCAGCCTCATATCCTCCCTCCACCTGCACTATTTCCTTCGTGTGCTTGCCATCTCCTTACTCCTTCCCCCTCTTCCCTCCTTACCCCCCTCTCAGGCTGCCTTAGAGCCTCTTTGTGAGCCGTGGCCCTTCCAGCTTTCAGCCTCTCTGCACTCCCTCTCCTCCCTCACCAACCCTCAATCTGCCTCCGCCTCCACTCTCCCTCCACCCCTCCTCTCCACTTCCTCCTCCTCTCCCTCTGCCTCCTCCACCGCTCTCACCTCCTTGGCTCTCACCTCCTCCCATCCTCTCAATCTCAATTTCACGCCATCACTCCTCGAGGTAAAATTTGTCTCCTCTGCCCTTTGGTGCCCTCCTTTCCTCTATGATGCCCGCCTGTGCTCTCCTCTGCCTTGGATGCTTCCCTTTCCTCTGCCCTGACGTATTCATCACCTACCCTGGGCAAGTTTTTCTGATTTATGTTCCATGCTTTCAACACACCACGCTCTCTCGTCCACCCTCCCTTATGACTGCAGGGAGCATGCATTGCAGCTTCACTCTTCTCCAACCCTCAGGTGCTTATGCTCGATCCTGCACCTGTGCAAAAGCATGGCGCAAGCTAAAGCATTGTGGCACCTGCTTATGTACCTCCCACGTCCACCACCTTCGGTGCCACACGTATTGTTGAGAGTCAGCTTTCCCACTCTTGCTGTCGTCATGCCAGCTTTCACTGTGAAGCTCGCATCGCTGCTGCGTGCTCCGACCCTTGGCTCCCCTTTCTAAGTTGCCTTGTGTCTCCTTGCTTGCACTTGTGCTTCTCCTCTTCATCGTGCTCGTCCCGTCCGTCCTTCTCATCTTCTCAGGCGCGCCACGTGTCATCACACTATTGGGTGGAAAACTATACCGGCGTGACGCTGCACCTCTGGTTCAGCGAGGACTTCTCAGACCCCAAGTATTCAGCACCACCATCAGCACCAACTTCTGCATCAGCATCAGCACCCACCGTTCCTCCCACCAACCCACCGCACATCACAGTGCCTGTTGGCGCCTGCCTGCCTCTCTCCCTCTCCTCTCGCCTCTCTCGTCCTCGCACCCGCTCCTCCTCCCTCGGGGCAACTGCACCATACTCCACCGCACACCACGCCTCTCATTCCTCAAGAATCCCCCAGGCACAGGCAGGCAGCCATGGCAGGGGCAGCAGCAGAGGAAGGGCAACGAGCCTCACAGGCAGCACCGCAGCAGCAGGAATGGCAGGCCGGCGATTGTGGGTGCGAGTGGGAGTGGACGGCAGTGACTCAGTCTGCCGGCCACTGCTGCTGGAGGGCGGCACGCGGCTGGCCTTCCCTGTCTCATACATAGCAGGGGGGAGCAGATGTGAATGGGAAAGGGGAGCTGAGGGCATGGCTTTGCAAGGGCTCAGAATGGGGTGGGGAGAGGACGGGGCGACAGGGGTGGGGCTGCAAGGGGTGGCGGCAGTGGAAGGGGGGGCAGCGCGGGTGCACGGGACAGTGCTGCTAGAGGTGGTTCGAGAGGGGCGCAAGCACCGGATTGTGCTTCGCTCCCTCGTTTCAATCGTCAACGCCTCGCACACGCCCCTGATACTCCAAGCTCATCACAGCCACCGTCTTGACTTGCCTGTGGAAGACGTGGGGGTGTGTGGCGCGAAGAGCACCCTGCATCTGCCTCTGCACCTCACCTCGTCCACCTCTCTCCGCTGGCGACCGGTGCAGGGGCCGTGGGCGTGGAGCGAGGAGACTCGGCTTGACGATGCTCTGGTGGCCCCTGCTGCTGCCACTGTCACTTGCACTGGCAGCAGTGGCTTGGATAGTACTGGCAGCAACAGCAGCATGAGTGCTATCACCAGCACCAGTAGCAGCAGTGGCACCGGTGGTGTGGCACCGTTGCTCACCCGCTCTGCTTCGTCCTCTTCCATCTCTACTCCCGGAATTGCTGCCTCTCTTGACCTGCTTCCACCCTCCCTCTTCTGCCTCTCTCTCACCGCCTCCCAATCGCCTCTGCCTCTCAGGTACCACTCTTCACCTCTGCTCTCTTACCTTAATCCGCCCTTGCACCTCTCGCTTGTGCTGTAGCGCCCCTTCCTCAATGTTCTTTCTCGTTAATGCCTCACCGCTCCTTTGCTCCTTTTCTCTGCCTGTCCCTCTACTCCCATTCACCTGCAGCTTACCACCCGTGGCACCCTCGCATTGCCCCATCGCTTGGACACCTGTCACCAGTCCACCTCACAGGGCCACCGCTGCTGCCCACCGCTCCCACTCGCCTCCCCTCACCGCCACCAACCGTCCAAATACCAGCAGCCCCCCTCTCACCCTCCGCCGTATTTCGTCCTCTAGCGCCGATGCCGTCGCCATCGCTGCAGCTGCTGCAGCCCAAGCTGCTGCTCTCCTAACCAATTCGCACCTCCCTGCTCCACCTGCCAGGTCAGCAGGCACTGCCAGCGTGGCAACAGCAGTCCATGGCGCCACATCACCCCATGCCACGAGCCCCTCTTATCCTCTCTCCAGGAGCGGCAGTGCTGTCAGCATTGGCTGCCTTTCTCCTGTGCTCACCTCGTCAGCTGCACCTATGGATGGCCGAAGGGCAGGAGGCAGGAGAAACAGTAGAGGAGGGAGTGACGCATGGTGGGCGGTTGGGGGGGAGGGAGACGTGGAGAGAAGGGAGAGGGGAGGAGGAGAGGGTGATGAGGTAATGGAAGAGGGCATGGCGTGGGAGCAGCAGCTGTGTCTTGCAGCGCCGCTTGTGTTGAAGAACCTTCTGCTTGTCCCGGTTACTGTCACACTGATTTGCACAGACCAACACGTTCTGCTGCCAACCACCATCCACATTCCTCCTGTAAGCTGCCTTTGTTTGCGCTGTACCCGCAGTTTCACTGCCCTTCCCAGCTCTCACAGTGGACTTGCTGTCGTTGTTCCCTCTGCACCCATGCACTGCACTCGCTGTGCCTTGGGCTGCTTGCACTCTCGCTTGCCAGATGAAATGTGTTTCTGCCTCTCTTTCTTCTGCTGCCTGATTCCCCTCTTTCACTTGCACAGGGCTCATCAGTGGAGGTATTTGACTTCGCCGCACACCACACCCTGCATGCCACGCTGCTCGTCCCTGGCTTTCAAGAGTCTCCACCTCTGCTGCTGCCCGTGCCGCCTGCTGCCAGCACCAACAGCGGGCGGCAAGGGGGGCAGAAGAAGAGGGGATGGAGGGGAAAAGATGGGGAGGAGGGACAGGACAGGCAGGGGGAAGAGTGGCAGCATCACAAGGAGGAGGAGGTGCTGCTCACTCGCGTCACAGGTGGGTGCTCGCGCCCCCACTTAGCCCCCACTTAGCGCCCCCACTTAGCGCCCCCACTTAGCGCCCCCAATTAGCGCCCCCACTTAGCGCCCCCACTTAGCGCTCCCACTTAGCGCCCCCACTTAGCTCACCCACTTAGCGCCCCCACTTAGCGCCTCCACTTAGCGCCCCTACTTAGCGCCCCCACTAAGCGCCCCCACTTAGCGCCCCCACTTAGCACCTCCACTTAGCGCCCCCACTTAGCGCCACTAAGTGGGTCCACGTGCGCGACTTGGTCCACGCGCGCGCCTTGGTCCACGCGCTCGCCTTGGTCCATGCGCGCAACGCGCGACTTGGTCCACGCGCGTGCCTTGGTCCACGCGCGCGCCTTGGTCCACGCGCGCGCCTTGGTCCACGCGCGCGCCTTGGTCCACGCGCGCGCCTTGGTCCACGCGCGCGCCTTGGTCCACGCGCGCGCATTGGTCCACGCGCGCGCCTTGGTCCACGCGCGCGCATTGGTCCATGCGCGCAACGCGCGACTTGGTCCACGCGCGCGCCTTGGTCCGCGCGCGCGCCTTGGTCCGCGCGCGCGCCTTGGTCTGTGGTCCCGCCCTTGGTCCACGCGCGCGCCTTGGTCCACGCGCGCGCCTTGGTCCACGCGCGCGCCTTGGTCCGCGCGCGCGCCATGGTCCGCGCGCGCGCCTTGGTCCGCGCGCGCGCCTTGGTCCGCGCGCGCGCGCGCCTTGGTCCGCGCGCGCGCCTTGGTCCGCGCGCGCGCCTTGGTCCGCGCGCGCGCCTTGGTCCGCGCCTAGGTCCGCGCGCGCGCCCTGGTCCGCGCGCGCGCCTTGGTCCGCGCGCGCGCCTTGGTCCGCGCGCGCGCCATGGTCCGCGCGCGCGCCTTGGTCCGCGCGCGCGCCTTTGTCCGCGCGCGCGCCTTGGTCCGCGCGCGCGCCTTGGTCCGCGCGCGCGCCTTGGTCCGCGCGCGCGCCTTGGTCCGCGCGCGCGCCTTGGTCTGTGGTCCCGCCCTTGGTCCGCGCGCGCGCCTTGGTCTGCGCGCGCGCCATGGTCCGCGCGCGCGCCTTGGTCCGCGCGCGCGCCTTGGTCCGCGCGCGCGCCTTGGTCCGCGCGCGCGCCTTGGTCCGCGCGCGCGACTTGGCTTACGCGCGTGGTCCAAATGATTCAATTTTCGCACACTCCTTTCCAGGCTGCAGCCATGTCTTGTGTCGTGTACCAGCACCCAATCATCTCTGCCACTCATTTGTTTCTACCCCGTGCCGTGTTTCTCACCCCCCTGCCTCACATCAGGTCCCTCCGTGCCCCTGCACCTGATCCACCTGCACCGCCCTGCCTCTGCCTCCCGCTGCCTGCACCTGCTAGCCCCCTTCACCATCGTCAACGCCACCGACCTCCCTCTCTGCCTCTCCGACGCTCACCTCCACACCTCTCCCTCCTCCCACCTCTTCCTCCCCCCGCACCCCGCCCTTCTCACAAGCGACAACCTGGCAGCTGCCACATCAGCGTCTCATCCGACTGCATTGGTGGCGAGCGGTGTGCCGCTTGTGCCAGCTGGCATCGCAGCAGGGGGGGGTGGATTGGGAGGGTTGGCAGCGGTGCTTCCCGGGATGAGCCAAGGAGTGAGCGATGCTGCTGGTGGCTCTGATACAAGGGCAGACTCACATACCCCTGCAGCCGCAAGCGTAGGCACTGCAGAAAAGGGTACAGGAACGAGAAGCGAGGGCAGTGAAAGAGGAAGAGAGGAGATAAGCCAGGGAGGAGCAGCGCTGCAACCCCCTATGGCTCTCTTCACTCCTGCCCCTCCCGCACCTGCTCTTGATGCTGACTCTGCTGCTTCTGGCGCCACTACAGGACTGCATCCCACCCAACCAGCACTTGTGCTGCGAGTGGGGGGCACTGCTGCTGCTGCTTCTGCCACAGCTGCGGGCCTTGGTGGTGCTGGGGGCATGCGCTCTCTCAATGCCCCTCCGCCTTCCACTGTGCCTGACTGGAGCCACGTGTCGCTGCCTGGTTGGTCGGCAGCTGTCCCTGTGGAGCCAACAGGGGGGGTGGCAGAGGTGCTGATTCCGCAGCAAGCAGGAAACAGCAGCGGCGGCGGCGGTGGTGGCAGCGGTGGTGTTGCTGCTGGTGGTGGTGCCTTTGCGCTGAGTCTCACCTGTTGTGATACTCTTGGTGCCTCTGCTGGCCGTTCTAAGACCATCACCCTTCGCCCTCGGTCTCTGCCCCATGCCATGCTACTTGACTACCCCCGTTGCTCGTCACTGCCCTTGCCATTGCTTCACACTGTGTACAGAGAAAACGCGTTGCCTTGTGCGCCACGCATCGCGTTGTGACGCTCCTCAGTCGTTTCGCCCTGTAGCTGTCTCCTCCTCTCCTTCACAACTCATCCTGTTGTCTCTCTCCCGTGCTTTGTCCTCCTCTCCTCACCTCACACCTCCCTCCTCCCCTTCACTCTGTCAGGTACGTACTAGCCAACTGCCTGGCAGCGGACATAAGGGTGAAGCAGCACGGCACGGACCGGCACATTCTCATCAAGGCTGGAGGCAACGCACCCATTCACTTCACCAAACTGCAGCGGTACCACTCGCCTGCTCTCCTCACTAGCACCACTCCACTTCTAACTTGTAACGCTCACTCCTGCAACTCCTACTCAAGCACCACAACAAGTTATGCTGTCTGTCTCTTATCGCTCTTCTCTTTCACACTACCCCCATCCCCCTCCTCCCCGTTTCCTCCCTTCCTCCATTCCTCCCTACCCATCTTTTCCCCTTCCCGACAGTCGCCTCTACCTGTCACTGCGCCTGGCTGACAGCAGCTGTGAGTGGTCGGGTGCCTTCCGCCCCTCCCAGCTAGGCGACACCCAGCTCAAACTGCGCTGTTCTCCCTCCCCCTCCTCTTCTCCCTCCTCACCCCTCGGCCTCACCCGCATCGTGAGGGTCGACGTGTCACTGGCCGAACCCCACCTGCCCCACGCTGCTGCTGTCACGCATGCAGCAGCCGCTGCTCCCACTGACGCTGCTGCCAGCACTGCAAGGAACACCAGTGGAAGCAGTAGCATCAGTGGAGGGGGCAAGAGCGGTGGGAACTCTGGGAACGCTGAGGCAGAAGGGGTTGGCACTGGTGGTGGCAGCAGCAGTAGTGGCAGCGGCAGGGGTGGCGAGGGCAGTGCCGCCAAGTGGAGTGGGGGCGGCACGTACCTGGTGGTGATTGGGGAGGACGACTCTGGCTTCATGCCCTTTCGCATTGACAACTGCTCCCGCGAGGTGAGCACATGCAGGGTGGCAGGCAGGAGGGGAAGAGCACATGGGTAATTGTCAGCAGAGGATCAGCGAATTAAGAGCCCCCAGTCTAACATCTCCCCTCTGACCAGCATGCTGCCAACTGCCCCGCCCTGCCCCACCTACTGCCCACCCCCTTCTTACCCCCCTCTTGCTCCCCCTCCCTCTCTCCCGCCCTGCCCCCAGGTGCTGCGGTTCTACCAGCGGGGGTGCGAGGGGCTGGGCCACACCGACTCCCTCAAACCCTTTGCTGCCACGCCCTACGCATGGGACGAACCCTGCCGCCCACACCGACTCGTGCTTGAGGTTAGAATGTGACAGTCTTTTCGAGTGCCAAGCGCATGATGCACGCTTGCTCCTATGGTTGCTTCTGCATTGCTCCCTGACGGCCCTGCGGCCCTGCCATGTGGCGGTATCATGGCCCCACGCTCCATCTTCTCTGTCAGCCTTGCTCTCACATCGCAGGATGGGTGTGTTGTCAACGACATGCTTCTTCCTCCTCCTGGTTGTGCAACATGTTGGCATGCCATCACGTCATGGCTATATGCCACAAATCATGGGCCATGGGTGTGCCATTCGGGCATGACATGTGTCTCCTGGGTGCATGGAATGTGCCGTCATGGCATGGGACAGGTACCAGGCGAGGGGGGCAGCATGGGTCACTTCCCCTTGGATCAAGTCAAGCACTTCCCGCTTGTCGTCCTTCCCGCTACCCCTCAGGTATGAGCCGTGAGTGACAGGCCCCTCAGACCCTCCGCTCCCTCTCTTCTGCACTCTTCACTCCCTCGTTCCTTTCTTTCTCCTTGCACATCCTCTTACCCGCAGAGCCATCGTTTGTCACAAGCACCCATGCGTGATGCATTGCTGACAGCATTATTTGAATAATTGCACCATCTTGCACTCTATCCCAACCATTCCCCGACCTATCATTCCCCTCCCTCGTCCTCTGCCTCTGTTTGGCTGCCTAAACCCTGTCCTTCCTTTCCCCGCCTCGCCTCTCGTTCCCCTCCGCACCTTTTCTTGCCTCTCTGCACTCACAGAGGGAGCAGCGGCGCCTGCGAGTATCTGTGTCAGCACAAGGACCAATCAGGGTACGGACTCCAGTACTGGTTTGTCTGTTTTTCTTTTATAGGTATTTTGCCGACGGACTAGCTGCATTTGTGTGTGTTGTGCATATTTGAATGCAATCAGTCCACCTCTCCGCTCCCTCACCTGTGTGCATCCCCTCCTACCACTCTGTCGCCCCACTTACCTTCCCCTCTTTCTTCTCTGTTCCCCCACCCCCACACTACCGCAGGTGCTCTCTGTGTGTGACATCGACCTCTTCCCTCCTCCCTCCTCCCTCCCCCCACTCCGTCTCAAGCACTTACCCATGCCACGTCACGCTGAGCTGGCATTCGGTCAGCAGCACCAGCCATGGAATCTCTCCTCCAAATCCCCCACCGTCCCCCAGTCTTCCTCCTCCTCTCTTCTCGAACTTCTCCTGAGCGTGCGCATCCCCCTTATAGTCCTCTCCGTTATAGACGCTCGCCCTCAGGAGCTACTGCTGCTATCCCTACACCGCCTCTCCGTCTCCCTCTCCCGCTCAGCGCACCAACACTCCCTCTCCTGCCTCCTCTCCCACCTCCAACTCGACAACCAACTCCCCAACGCCCTCTTCCCTATCCTCCTCGCCTCCTCCTCCCCTCCTCTCTCCCTCACTCGCTCCACACCACCACCCTTCTCGTCACCATCATCACCCTCCCCGTTCTCCATGCTCCACCCATCCCACACCTCACCAAGCCTCGCGCTGCTACAAGCTGCTCTCCATACGCCCTCCCTGCTGCTCTCCTCTGTCCTCCACCACACGTCCCAACAGCAACATCAAGCTCCTTCCCACAGTGCCCTGCTGCAAGCGCCTTTCCAAGCCAGCCTGCAAGGGGGCCAAGCAGCGGTGGCAGCAGACGTGGTGGCGTGGCGGCAGAGAGTGGGCTCCGTGCTCTGTGTGGAGAGCGTGAGGGTCGGGTGAGTGCAGCGGGTGCTGGCTGTGGGGGAGTGCTGGCTGTTGTGTTGGGTAGGGGAATGCTGACAGTGTTGTCGGGGGAGTGCTGGCAGTGCAGTGAGTGCTGCCATTGCAAAACCATACCGCGGCTTCTCGTCTCCCGTCTGCATCGCCCCCATCTTCCTTCCCTCTTTCCCTTTCATCATCGAACCCTTTCCCTCCTTCCTCATCTGTCTCTGCCCGTCTGTCCCCACCCCTCCCACCGCCCAGCCTGGCACCTCTCTCTGTCTAGACGCCTCAAAACTCAACCAACTGCTCTAATCCGCATCCTTCATGTGTGTCTTCCCTCTTGCCCCCACTCCTCCCACCCACCAGCCTCGCCCCACTCTCTGGAGCTCGAGGAGCATCTGCTGCTGCGCCTGCTCGACTTCTCCCGCACCTGCATCGCCGCCCTCTCCGCCCTCGGCCCCCCCTCGCCCTCCTCCTCGCCTCATTCCTCCTCTCTTGCATCCAGCAGCAAGGGTGTGGGAAGAGGCCGAGCCGGAAATGCTGGCAGGGAAAGGGAGCAGGAACGGGAGGGGGCGAGGGGAGCAGCTGGAGCACAGGCAGGGAGGGGAGCTGGGGAGAGGGAGGAGGGGCGGCAGCAGGGGCAGGAGCAGATGCAGCGAGTGTACATCTGGTGCAGTGGCGCATCAGTGGCAGCAGTGGGGGTGGTGGGCGGGCAGGGCATGGACACATCCCCGCACATAAAAGGCACCGCCAACATGTACATAGAGACCATGGCCGTCCGCCCCATCCACATCACCATCAGCTTCGCCAGTGCACCATGGGCGGCGGATCAGAGCAGGGGGGCGGCAACACAGGGGGTGTTGGGGGCGCTGGGAGCGGTGGTGCAGAGGAGTGTGCTGTCGCTGGCGGACGTGCAGGGGGCGCCGCTGGGGCTGTCTGCGTGGCAGCTGGAGCACTTCTTTGGCGGGCCGGCGTCGCTGGGAGCGAGGCTTGAGCGGCACTACACGCTGCAGCTGCTGCAGGCGCTGTACAAGGTAAAACTGCTAAAAGGGGTTCCACCTTGCTGCTCTTCCCCATGAGTGAGGACCTGTGCTGTGGGACCTCACCTCACATTCGAGCGAGGCTTGAGCGGCACTACACGCTGCAGCTGCTGCAGGAACTCTACAAGGTAAGACCAGTGAGAGAGCTCTACAGGGTTAGAGCAGGGGGATGGCAGCACAGGGGTGCAGGGGGTGCTGTGGGCGCTGGGAGCGGCGGTGCAGCGGAGTGTGTTGTCGCTGGCGGACGTGCAGGGGGCGCCGCTGGGGCTGTCTGCGTGGCAGCTGGAGCACTTCTTTGGCGGGCCGGCGTCGCTGGGAGCGAGGCTGGAGCGGCACTACACGCTGCAGCTGCTGCAGGCGCTGTACAAGGTAAGACCAGTGCTCTACAAGGTAAGACTAGACTAGTTAGAGAGCTCTGCAAGGTAGCAACACTGAAAGGTTCTTTTACAAGGCCGTACAAGGTAGCAGTCGTGCGAGTGCTGCACATTGTCCGAAGACGCACTTTGCTTGTTTCCTCTGCCTGCCATGCTAACTGCTGAACCTTCCAATTTCCCACGCATCCACGTGCCCTGCCTGCAGGTGGTGGGGTCGGCAGACTTCCTGGGCAACCCAGTGGGGCTGCTCTCCTCTCTTCCCCCTTCTCTGCTCTGCTGCTCGCCTCTCCTGCTCATGCACTGGATACCACCTGCTTTGCTCCTCTCCCGCCCTTCCCGTGCCCCCAGGTGGTGGGGTCAGCGGACTTCCTGGGCAACCCGGTGGGGCTGCTCTCGTCCCTCTCTGCCAGCCTCTGGGACCTGCTCGCCTCGCCCACCCACACACTGCTCATGCGCCGGGTACCACCTCTCCTGCCCTTCTCCTGCCCCTCTCCTGCCCCTCTCCTGCCCCTCTCCTGCCCCTCTCCTGCACTCCTCCCATCTTGCCCTTCTCCTGCCCTTTTCATGCCTTACTCGCTTAGATGCTGCGGGCTGCAAAAAACACTCCACCATTGCTTCCCCTTCATCTGCTTGAGTTTATCTTCCATATGCCCATCATCATGCCTCGTTAACCATGCTCATTTCTGCCCATCACCCTGCCACTATACTCCCTTTTTGGCAGAAATGCAAGCCCATCACCCTGCCACTATACTCCCTTTTTGGCAGAAATGCAAGCCCATCACCCTGCCACTATACTCCCTTTTTGGCAGAAATGCAAGCCCATCACCCTGCCACTATACTCCCTATTTCCTCCTGAAGCTTCCTCTGCACTTCGTGTCCTTCTTTCATTGCCCTGCAGAGCCCGGCAGGGTTCGCCAAGGGCGTGTGGGTGGGGTGGACAAGCCTGCTGCGCACCACCCTCTTCGCTCTCTCGCGCTCTGCCTTTTCAGCCGACTCAGAAACCCTTTCCCCATTTCTATCTTTCATTGCCCTGCAGAGCCCGGCAGGGTTCGCCAAGGGGGTGTGGGCGGGGTGGACGAGTCTGCTGCGCACCACCCTCTTCGCTCTCTTGCGCTCTGCCTTTTCAGCCGACTCAGAAACCCTTTCCCCATTTCTGTCTTTCATTGCCCTGCAGAGCCCGGCAGGGTTCGCCAAGGGGGTGTGGGCGGGGTGGACGAGCCTGCTGCGTACCACCCTCTTCGCCCTCTCGCACTCCGCCTCCCGCATGTCCCATGCTGCTTCCAAGGTAACAATCCAATCATCAGAAGCCAACGGCAAACTATGTGGGCGAGAGCGTATGGACGGTGGCATTGCAGCACTCTCCTGGCATGGCTGTTGTCTTCCTTCTCTGCTTCGCTCTCTCCCCGGTTTTCCTGCCTGCCATCTCTCCACCATCTTTGCATTTCCCACCATCTTCCTCTGGTTTCCTTCCTGTCTCCATGGCGTGGCATGGCATGGCATGGCAGGGAATGGCATCGCTGGCATGGGACGAGGAGAACGAGGATGGCATGGAGCGGGCGGGGCAGGCATGGGCCCCTCACGCCTCAGACGAAGCCTCCTTCTTCGCCTCACTTATACAGGTGCCTGCCCCCTGCTGCTCCCATCAACTGCCCCTTCCCAACGCGACTCAACCACGCTGCATGCTGTGCTCTTATCACTGCACACTGTGGCCTTGATGCACGCTCCTAGCCAAAGCTTCCCCACTGCTCACCTCTCACCTCTCCCTCATCCCATGTGCATTTAACCATTCCATCCCATGGGCAGGGCGTGACAGGCCTCTTGGACCGTCCAATCAGGGGGTGGGAGAGGGGCGGTCTCCCTGGCCTTGCATCCGGTGAGATCTCTTGCTTGACCCACCTGCTTCGCACTGCACCCCACAGTAGCCCACTGCACCACACCCTGCTGTGCCCCACTTCACCCAACTGCACCACATTGCACCGTTGTGGCACCACTCTCTACAGTATTCCAATAAAGCGTACATCGCATATTCCACACTGTATTCCACTGACAGTGGTTAGCATACATCGCAACTGATCACATGATTTGTGTTTCCACATGCACAGTTCGCATATGACAGCCCGTGTTGCGTCCCGTCCCAATGCAATGCATATTCCTTTCTCTCTCCCCTCTCTCTCTCCCCCTCCTTTCTCTCTCCGCTCTCCTCCTTCCTTGCCCTTTCCTCTCTCCCCACTTCCTCCCCCCCGACCCTCCCAGGCCTGACACAGGGAGTGTTGGGAGTGGTGGCGCGACCAGCAGCATCAGCACTGGCGCTGGCAGCAGCGACAGCAGAGAGCATCCGCAACGTGGCCCGTCCACCCGGCCCCTCCCAGGCTCTGCACCCGCTGCGCCTGCCAAGGCAGCTGAGCCCTGGGCGCCCCCTCGCCCCCTACTGCCACTCCCAAGCAGCTGCCCAAGCTGCCTTGGCCGAGGGTGCAGGAGGGGCGTGGCGCGATGAGGTGAGGGGTGTATGCTTGGGCTGAGTGGTGGGGAGGATGGGAAGGAATGAGGGAGGGAGGGATGGGTGGGAGGGAAGGCAGCAATAGCAGAGAGCATTCGCAACGTGGCCCGCCTTCCCGGCCCCTCCCAGGCTCTGCATCCAGTGTGCCTTCCAAGGCAGCTGAGCCCTGGGCGACCCCTCGCCCAAGCTCCCCTGGCCGAGGCTGCAGGGGGGGCGTGGCGTGATGAGGTGACAGGAAGGAGTGTGTGTATGCATGGGATGGCTGAGTCACTTCTGAGAATTCCTAGCAGTGGCACAAACAGGGCGCCCCCTCGCCCCCTACTGCCACTCCCAAGCAGCTGCCCAAGCTGCCTTGGCCGAGGGTGCAGGAGGGGCGTGGCGCGATGAGGTGAGGGGTGTATGCTTGGGCTGAGTGGTGGGGAGGATGGGAAGGAATGAGGGAGGGAGGGATGGGTGGGAGGGAAGGCAGCAACAGCAGAGAGCATTCGCAACGTGGCCCGCCTTCCCGGCCCCTCCCAGGCTCTGCATCCAGTGTGCCTGCCGCGGCTGAGCCCAGGCCGCCCCCTCGCCCCCTACTGCCACTCCCACGCCGCTGCTCAGGCTGCTCTGGCCGAGGCTGCAGGGGGGGCGTGGCGAGACGAGGTGAGGGCGAGGGAGTGCATGTGCTAGAAGGGTGAGAAACTTTTGGGAGTTCTTACAGGGCGCCCCCTCGCTCCCTACTGCCACTCCCAACCTGCTGCTCAAGCTGACCTTGCTGAGGCCGCAGGGGCGGCGTGGCGAGATGAGGTGAGGGCGAGCGCGTTCAGGATTGGCAGTTACGATGGCTGAGTGGAGGGGAAGGAAGGGAGGGAGTGAGGGAAGGAGGGAATTCAGGCACAGGGTGTTGAGGGTAGCGAGTCAAATGCTGATCCGTTTTGTAGCCAATGGTCATCATCTTGTTGATGTGCAATCTATTTGTTCAATTTTTTCTTTTTCTACCTCCTTTCTACGCCCTTCCTTGCAAACATGCAGGATGCCCTGGCTTGCTTCCAAGTGGTCCCTGCACCGCCAGCACCAGCGTCAGCAGCAACATTAGTACCAGTATTGCCTGGCATGTCAGTGACACCAGAAGAGGCATTCGTTATAGTCACACCGTCACACATGCTGCACGTGTGGAGGGTGGCAGCAACAGGCCGGCACAGCAGGAGCCAAAGAGCCAGCCAATGGCAGGTGGCATGGGCTGTGCCTCTGAGGGACGTGATTGGCTGCTGCAGCATGCAGCCCGTTGACTCACATGTGCTGCATGGGAGTGAGGACACAGCAGATGCGAATGAGCATACAGCACTTGGGAGTGCAACAGAGGCAGCAGGTGCAGCAGAAGCAGAGGGCAAGGCAGCAGGCCATGCCTCATCACCACATCGTGCTGCCTCCATCGCTCCTGCCACTGATGCTCTCCTCCCACCTTCTCCTGCTGCAATTGAAGCTCAACCCCTGTTGTCGCCCACCCCACTGCTGCCTGCCACTGTGGAAGGAGGGCCAAGTGAGGGTCACTCTGCAAGTGTGGACGCCACTAAAGCGTCAACAGTTGTTGGTGAGTGACGCCCCATCAGTCCTTTCACGAGCCAATCTACATGCCTGTTTCCATCCCGCATCATCTGCTTGCACATGTGTAAATAAATTCAACTCCCAACCACCTGGTCTGATGGTCTGCGATTTATTATTCCTAATTGATGGACTACGGTATTGCTCATTTGTCCGGTGCCTGATTGGCTGCTTCCCTCTCCTGTGCGCATGGTGGGATTCAGTCATGGAGCTTCCAGCCGAAGGCACGGGGTCGGCTTCACTGCATGGACGGACCCTACAACTCTCCACGGCTCAGGAGGATCAAGAATTTATTCAGCTCATAAAGGCCACTAGTGCTTAAGGTCAAAACACAGGTTGATAATGTCCAATAATATAATCTCGGTTATCTAAACACCGTCCTTGAATCAAGTTGTGATTTGATTGCATGTGCATGGTGGGATGTGCACATGCATTAAATAATGTCCAGGTAGTGAGAGTTCTCTATACATTGACAAGACACTGCAAGCAGTCATAAACTAGTTATTACGAGACATCCTATACGGAGCGTTAAAGTTCTAACTGCCGTTGACGAAAGCAGACTCCCAAAATCAGAGGCAGAATCTCGAGTTCCTCGAATCTTGGTGCCAGCGCGAAGGCACGTCGAATCGGAAGCATCCAGCGTGGCCGCACTTTCACGTCAACCAGGCAAAAGTGTGTGCCCCACGTCAGGCTGCGGAGTCTCCGGAAGTTTTGCCACGTCAGTCAGGATCTCTCGCCTCAGCTCGTCGATTTTACCTTGCCCCCAGAAACAACTCTCAAGGCAACTGGCTCTGCTCTGCTCTGCTCCCTCCCCCCTCCGCCATTCCTCACCACCAGCAGCTGCGCAACAGTAGCATCGCTCAAGAAGCATCAGAGAGCACCAGAAGCGCAACAGTACCGTTTCTTGGGATTGCTCCACACCACACCAGACGACCTCGAGGCTGAAGCTCGGCCATTCCACCGTACGCATCCGCCGCATATCTCCTGCCTTCCACCCTCCAAGCCACGACCTTGTTCATTCGCACCTCACACCGCCACCTCAACCTTGCAAGGTCAGGCCTTGACATCGCCAACGCACCTACCCGCACCGATTCACACCGAGCGTCTGCTGACTGTCGGTGCTCGCCATGGCTCGAGGAAAGGCGGCGCAGCTCATCATGTCCCGAGGCCATCTGCTCTTCCCGCAGGTACGCTTCCTCGAAGCTTCCGTTCTTCGTTATAGAGTGTCTTTTATCCTACTAACGAAAGGAGAGGGTAAGATCGAAAATGGAAAATCAATGGAGAAGGAAAGCGGGTCCTAGCCTGCGCGCGGTTCTTGCTTGGCCGTTGATCTGACGGCGACTCTTTTCCTCATCCCTCTCACATCAGGCGCGCCGTGCGGCCGCCGCGGCGTGCAGGGTGGACGCGCTGGTTCCCGCAGCAGCAGCAGCGCCGCGCAGCAGCGGACGCCTTTTCAGCTCCTCGAGCTCCGCGCCGCCCGCGGACGGCGAGGCGCCGAAGCAGGAGCTGACGCCGGTGCAGGCGGAGTGGGCGAAGCGCGCGTCCAAGGAGATCAAGGGCGGGGATGCATTCGAGGATCTCAAGACGCTCTCGCCCGAGGTCCGTCCGCGCGCCTGCAGTCGCCGCATTCCTTCCTAACTGCATCGCAATGCCTGCTTCTCTCTCTTTTTCATTTTCTTTTCTTTTCTTTTTTTACTAATCGCGTTTGCTCGATATCACCTCCTCAATCGGATCATTCTGGCGTGTGAAACCTTCCTCATTGTTTCGCCGCCTTACTCGTGGTCACCACTTGTCGTATCACCTGTTCGCGCAGGGCATCTGGATCAAGCCCGTCTATTCCTACTCCGACGTGCCCGAGGAGTCGAAGGCCGAGATGCCGGGCGTCTTCCCCTTCTCGCGCGGCCCCTACGCCACCATGTACACGCAGCGCCCCTGGACCATTCGCCAATACGCCGGCTTCAGGTAACCACTCTTCGCCCTTTTCGCCTGACCATTCTTCGCCACTAGCGCGATGCTCGCCTGCGGCAGGCGCTGCCGTCAATATTATGCACCACGCGCTCCCAATACGCGCTTTCGTCACGCGCTCTTGCTCTCGCCCATCCAGTTGTCGCCTGATCGATTTACTCCCGCCTTACCACTCACGCCACGCCCACGCGTCCCTCGTCTCCAACCGCATTCCTCGTTTCCGTCTTTCCCCCTCCCCATTCCCCCTCCCCGCCCTTTTCCCCTCCCCGCTCCCCCTCCCCCCGCGTTCCCCCAGCACGGCGGAGGAGTCGAACGCGTTCTACCGGCGGAATCTGGAGGCGGGGCAGAAGGGGCTGTCCGTGGCCTTCGACCTCGCCACGCACCGCGGGTGAGCGCACGGGGGGTGACCTTTGAGTCTTTTGTGTGTTTTCTTACCTTTTTTACTCCTTCAAGTTGACTCTCAAGTCACCTCGCGGGGCAGAAGGGGCTGTCCGTGGCCTTCGACCTCGCCACGCACCGCGGGTGAGCGCACGGGGGCAGCGTGGCGTGAGGGGCCACAGAAGAGGGGAAGGAGAATAGCTGCGTGAGGGGGAAAGAAGAGGGATAGGAAGGGGTTGCAGTAGATCTGGGGCGGTGGCTCTTTTGGCCCTGGCTGCCTCGTGCTTCCATACCAACCCGTGCCCCCATTTGCTGCTCACACCCTTCCATTGTGTGCTCACGGCCCCCTAGAATTGACTCCATCCGAAGCGCCAAAACCCACATCCCGCCTCACTCTCCCTCTCCTCGCCTCCTTCCTCCCTCCTCCCTCCTCCCACTTCTGTCCCATCCCCTCGCAACCCCTCCCCCCTCACCCTCCCCCCACAGGTACGACTCGGACCACCCCCGCGTGGTGGGAGACGTGGGCATGGCGGGCGTGGCGGTGGACAGCGTGGAGGACATGAAGGTGCTCTTCGGCGGCATCCCGCTCGACAAGATGTCCGTCTCCATGACCATGAACGGGGCCGTGCTGCCGGTGATGGCGTTTTTCATTGTCGCTGCACAGGAGCAGGGTGAGTTGGGGGGAAGGGGAACAATGGGAGGGGGTTGGGAAGGTCTTCAGCAGCATCCCGCTGGAGCAGATGTCGGTGTCCATGACCATGAACGGCGCCGTGCTGCCCGTCATGGCCTTCTTCATCGTTGCTGCGCAGGAGCAGGGTGCGTCCAGGGAGTGATGGGGTTGTGAGCAGGGCAATGCGTGGCAGCAGCTTAGTGCTCAGGCGCCTGGGAACGCTGGCTTTTGAACTCTAGCCTACAGCACACTCAGCTTCCCGATGCCTCAAAACACCCACCACCACCCTCCCCCCTCCCCCTTTCCTCCATCCCCCCCTCATGCTGCGCGACGTACAACTCTCGGCCCCTATGAACACCTTCGCCCCTTTCCCCCGACCTTCCCCTTTCTTCCCCCCACCTTTCCCCTCCTCCCCTGACGTCTCGTCTCCCTATCCGCCTGCAGGTGTGGACCTGGCCAAGGTGGCGGGCACGATTCAGAACGACATACTGAAGGAGTACATGGTGCGCAACACCTACATCTACCCGCCCGCGCCGTCCATGCGCGTGGTGGGCGACATCATGGCGTACACGTCCCGCCTCATGCCCAAGTTCAACTCCATCTCCATCTCTGGCTACCACATGCAGGAGGCGGGCGCTGACTGGTGAGTCCCCCCCCTTGGACCCCCCCTTGTGTTGCTCCCCTCATTGTTCTCTGTGCTGCACTGCGCGCTGCTCCCTGGGCTGACTGGTAAGGCAGAGGTTGACTGGTAGAGCAGGGGTTGGTGCGTGGTGGGCGACATCATGGCGTACACGTCAAGGCTCATGCCCAAGTTCAACTCCATCTCCATCTCCGGCTACCACATGCAGGAGGCCGGGGCTGACTGGTGAGTGCGCCTAATGCCTGTGCATCTCTGCTCACTGCTCCCTCTGTTGCACCGCTGCTCCCTGGGGTGACCGGTAGGTCTGGGTGGGACTGGTAAGGCTGCCTCATTCCCAAGTGCAACTCCATCTCCATCTCGGGTTACCACATGCAGGAGGCCGGCGCTGACTGGTGAGTTCAGGACGGGTGGTGATTGATGAGGCCCCTTGAATCCTTGTGCTGCACTTCCCACTGAATACTTTCGTAGCAGCAGTAGAGGTAGCGTCCACGATTGCTGACGGCTTCAAGTACATTCGGTGCTGTACTGCCGTGTTGAGATGGCATTCACCATCGCAGACGGGTTGGAGTACATTCGGTGCGGCATGGAGTCCGGTGTGGGCGTGCAATGCGTGATGTGCTCTGTGCTGTGCCCCCACCTTCCCCTGGCCCCCCCCCTTCCCCCCCATCCCAACAGTGCGGTGGAGATGGCATTCACCATCGCTGACGGGTTGGAGTACATTCGGTGCGGCATGGAGTCCGGTGTGGGCGTGGATGACCTAGCTCCGCGCTTCTCCTTCTTCTGGGCCATTGGCATGAACTTCTACATGGAGGTACGGCCGGCATGAGGTAGGAACTTGTACACGGGGGTAGGGAGATGTGCATGGGAGGTGGGGACTAGCACGTGGAGGCAAGCACTTACACGTGGAGGGACGAGCTAGCTCCGCGCTTCTCCTTCTCCTGGGCCATTGGCATGAACTTCTACATGGAGGTGGGGGCTTGTGCATGGAGGTAGGGAGGTGTACATGGAGGTACAAGCTGCCTCTGCTGTAGGCGGTTGTTATAGAATACTCAAAACCACCTGCAACAACAATGTGTCTCCCCTACCCCCATCTCTCCTCCCGTGCCCCCACCTCTCCTCCCGTGCGCCCACCTCTCCTCCCGTGCGCGCACCTCTCCTCCCGTGTGCCCCCTTCCTCCCCATGCGCCCATGTGCAGATCGCCAAGATGCGGGCAGCACGACGTGTGTGGGCCAAGCTCGTCAAGGTCAGTCGCCTCTCTGCTCCACCGCCCACTCTCGCCTTCCCTGCCTCTCTCCTTCTCTCTGTTTCACTGCCTTTCAATGCCTGTCACTGCAGCCCCTTACCTCTCACCATTCATTTTCTCTCGCTGCCTTCCGCTCACTTCTCCTTCCCTCTCGCCCCCATCGCTCTCCCCAACCTGTCGCCCCCCCCACGTGTGGCCCCTCTAAACCCGTACAGGAGAAGTTCAACCCCAAGAACTCCAAGTCGCTCGTCCTCCGGACGCACAGTCAGGTGAGGGTTGTGCAATCACATATGCCTCTGCATCTCCTTGCACGCTCTTTTCACTCAATATTCTGATTCAACTCCCCTTGCAAAGCACTCCGCAACCTCTCATGTTTACCCTCTCACCTCCCGCCCTTCACCCCTTCGCCCACCTCTTCCTCTCAAACCCTCTCACCCATTCACACCCTCCCCATTTCCCCGCCCCCCCACCCTCCCTCTTCCCCCCCTCTCAGACATCGGGCTACTCGCTGACCGGGCAGGACCCATACAACAACGTCATCCGCACCACAGTGAAGCGCCTCACAAACTCATTCGCACCTCCCCCTCCCCGCTTTCTCCCTTCCCTCTTTCTCCCTCCCCTCTTCCTCCCTCCCCGTTTTCTCCCTTCCCTCTTTCTCCCTCCCCTCTTTCTCCCTCCCCTCTTTCTCCCTTCCCTCTTTCTCCCTCCCCTCTTTCTCCCTCCCCTCTTTCTCCCTCCCCTCTTTCTCCCTCCCCGTTTTCTCCCTTCCCTCTTTCTCCCTCCCCTCTTTCTCCCTCCCCTCTTTCTCCCTTCCCTCTTTCTCCCTCCCCTCTTTCTCCCTCCCCTCTTTCTCCCTCCCCTCTTTCTCCCTTCCCTCTTTCTTCCTCCCATCTTTCTCCCTCCCCTCTCTCCCCCTTCCCTCCTTCCCAGACATCCGGTTATTCCCTAACCGAGCAGGACCCATACAACAACGTCATCCGCACGACGGTCGAGCCCGCATCGCCTTTCCCCTTTCCACTCAGACTTCCCTTTCCCCCACCCATCCCCCCAACCTCCCTCTCCCCCCATCCAGACATCCGGCTACTCCCTAACCGAGCAGGACCCATACAACAACGTCATCCGCACCACAGTCGAAGCCATGGCAGCAGTCCTAGGCGGCACCCAGTCCCTCCACACCAACGCCTTCGATGAGGCCCTCGCTCTGCCCTCCGAGATGAGCGCACGCATCGCCCGCAACACACAGCTGATTCTCCAGGAAGAGACCGGGATCACCAATGTGGCGGATCCCTGGGGCGGGTCGTACATGATGGAGGCGCTGACTGCGGATCTGGAGAGGCAGGCGCTGGTGATCATAGAGGAGGTGGAGGCGGCTGGTGGCATGACCAAGGCTATCATGTCTGGCATGCCTAAGAGGAAGATCGAAGAGTGCTCTGCTCGCAAACAGGTGCGTGTGGGTGAGGATGGAGGAGGCGGCGGGGTGTTGAGGGGTGGAGTAGAAAGGGAGGGAAGGAAGGGGGGTGTGGGAGGGCCTGTGGAAGCATTATTCTGAAATTTGAGTTCCTCGCTTCCTGCTCGCTCATCTCACCACAAATTACCCTTGTTCTTTCTGCTCTCTCTCCGGATCCCATCAGGCGCGTGTGGACAGCGGGCTGGACGTGGTGGTGGGGGTGAACAAGTACCGCCTCGAGGAGGAGGAGGGCGTGGAGTGGAGCTCAGGCATAACTACAGACTGCTGAGTTCATTGAAGCGTCACCTTGTCTCCCCTCTCCTCTCCCCGTATTCCCCCTCCTCCCCATCAGGCGCGTGTGGACAGCGGGCTGGACGTGGTGGTGGGGGTGAACAAGTACCGCCTCAAGGAGGAGGAGGGCGTGGAGCTGCTGCTGCTGCTCCCCCTCTCTCTCTCACCTCCTTTTCCCTGCTGCTCTCTCTCCCCGCCTCCCCCATCAGGCACGAGTGGACAGCGGGCTGGACGTGGTGGTGGGGGTGAACAAGTACCGACTCAAGGAGGAGGAGGGCGTGGAGCTGAGGCACATTGACAATGCCGCTGTGCTCAAGAGCCAAGTGAAACGCCTTGGGGAGCTACGCGCCTCGCGTGACAATGACAAGTAAGAAAATCCCTTCCCTCACTTGAGCCCTCTCTCTCACACGCTAATCCGGAGCTGAGGCACATCGACAACGCTGCTGTGCTCAAGAGCCAAGTCAAGCGCCTGGGGGAGCTTCGTGCGTCCCGGGACAACGAAAAGTAAGACACGCCCTCCCCCCTCACGTGAGCCCTCTCTCTCCCTCGCTCACTCGGAGCTGCGATAGATTGGCCACGCCGCTGTGCTCAAGAGCCAGGTCAAGCGCCTCGGGGAACTCGCGCCTCCCGGGACAACGAAAAGTAAGACACGCCCTCTACCTGCCTCTGTGCTTCTGTCTCCCCCCTCCCCGCTCACCCCTATCTCTCGCTCTGTCTCTTCCTCCTATGGAGGATCTATCCTTCACATTCTCACTCGCTCTTGCTCGCTCCGTTTGCAGACCCCCCCATCTCCCAGACACACACACTATGGCCCCCTCGCTCTCGCCCTCTTTTTGTCTCCTTGCTACTCCCAATCCCCCCACGCACACTCTCACTCTCCCCCCCTACCAGGGTGAAGGCGGCACTGGCAGCGCTAACAGCAGCGGCGAAGAGCACGGAGAGAGGCGAGGGGTGCAACCTGCTGGCTCTCGCAGTGGAGGCGGCGCGAGTGCGGTGCACACTGGGAGAGATCAGTGACGCGCTCGAGGCTGAATGGGGGCGCCACGTTGCCGACTCCACCATCTCCACTGGCGCCTACAGGTGGGTGCCGCATGTGTGATGCAACCTCTAGTTGCTTAGCTCTCATCACCCATTCCGTGAGTGCGGTGCACACTGGGAGAGATCAGTGACGCGCTCGAGGCCGAGTGGGGCCGCCACGTCGCTGACTCCACCATCTCTACTGGCGCCTACAGGTGCGTGCTGCATGTGTGAGGTGGCATTTAGGTGCTCCACTGGCGTGTAACGGTGCGTGCCGTACGTATGAGGTCGCTTCACGTATGTGTCTCATGTGTGCTCGTCTCAGGTGTGTGCCTAAGATCAAGCCGACGCCCGCGCGTGCTCATCGCGAAGATGGGGCAGGACGATTGTTGAGGCGTCACAGAAGCCATGTGACCTTGTCTTGTTAAGCTCACTTTGTCTTCTTTCTGCTCCTCCGCCTCCCCTCTGCCTACCCTGGTGCAGGGGCGAGTACGGGCGCGCCACAGGAGGCCAGGACACCGAGGAGCTCGCAGCAGTGAAATCCGCCGTGGAGGCCTTCGAGAAGAGCACCGGGCGGCGCCCGCGAGTCCTCATCGCGATGATGGGGCAAGACGGGCACGACCGCGGCGCTAAGGTCGTGGCCACGGGCCTGGCAGACCTTGACTCAGTTAAGCTCACTTGGCCTACTCCCTGCTCCTCCTCCCCTTCTGCCTACCCTTTCGCAGGGGCGAGTACGGGCGCGCCACAGGAGGCCAGGACACGGAGGAACTCGCAGCAGTGAAAGCAGCCGTGGAGGCCTTTGAAAAGAGCACCGGGCGGCGCCCGCGTGTGCTCATCGCCAAGATGGGGCAAGACGGGCACGACCGCGGCGCCAAGGTCGTAGCCACCGGCCTGGCAGACCTGGGATTCGACATTGACATCGGGCCTCTCTTCCAGACGCCTGCAGAGGTGGCGCGGCACGCCATGGAAGCCGATGTGCACGTGGTGGGTGTGAGCTCGCAAGCTGCTGGGCACAAGACGTTGGTGCCGCAGCTGCTGGATGAGTTGAAGGCGCAGGGGATGGAGCGGGTGCTGGTGATTGCGGGGGGCGTGATTCCCCCGGATGATTATCAGTTCCTGTTTGACAAGGGCGTCGGGGCTATCTTTGGCCCGGGGACCCGCATTCCCAAGTGCGCGCTGGAGATCTTGGAGAAGATTAAGCCGGAGGCTTAAGAGAGCTGCTGTGGGGTGAAGGGGGTGGCGGCGGGGGAAAGGGGGGGGGATGTTGCAGTGTGAGGGCGTGGGGGCGATCTTTGGGACCGGGGACGCGCATCCCCAAGTGTGCGCTGGAGATCTTGGAGAAGATCAAGCTGGAGGCTTAGAGTTCTGCTGTAACTGCATTGACTGATGCAGGGAATGGAGGGTTGCTGCTGGCTAACGAGCAGGTGTAGCGGGCAGGGATGGAAAGGGTGGTATGTTATGTGTCTAGACTAAATTCTGCTGCATGGACTTGCTCCTCTTGTATTTCTCATACTGCTTGCTCTCATTGCAATATGTTACAGAATACTTACCCTGTACCTATAAACTGTTGCTTCGACACTGAACTTGCAGTAGTACACTCCAGAATGGATGCTATGATATTTGGGTTTGGAGACCGAGGTCATTTGTGTAGAAACACAGGCAGGAAGTTGTGCAGTAACAATCGAATATAGGTATCGACAATGCATTTTCACAATGGACCAGCAGACCAGGCTACAGATTGTGTATGAGGTACAAACTAGAACACTTACAGAGCAAGCTAGTGCACATAAACATAGCCCTTCTAGTGGAGCCACACTGTCCCGTTCAAAAAGTGATGGCGGAAAGCTCAAATGCTTTCTTTGTAACACAGTTGCTTGGCGAGGTGGACAGGTCGTGCTGCTATTGAGGCACCTCGAAAAGTGCCCCATTTGTAACTGGGATGCTCAGAACAAAAGCGTGTTGGTTGGTTGGTGCACGGGCGGCGGTGCTACTGCTGCAGGGCGATAGCTGCGACGTTGGAAGCGAGGGCGTAGGTGCGAGAGGTGAGGCCTCTCGATCGCTCTATTAGGTTCTCGTACCTGCAGGGAGGGGAAGGAATGGGAGGGAGGGAAGAGGAAAGTGGGGTGTTGGCAAAGGGAAAAAATGGGGAAGTGGGGGGAGGGGGGAGGTGAGTGGGAAGGGTTAAGTGCACGGTGGTGCTACTGCTGCAGGGCGATGGCGTCAACATTGGAGGCAAGAGCGTAGGTGCGCGTCGTGAGGCCTCTCGACTGCTCTATTAGGTTCTCGTACCTGCAGGGAGGAAGGAGAGGGAAGAGATAGGGGAGGGGTTGGGGGGGAAGAGGGGAGGTTGCCGGGATAGGGAGCTGTAAAGGGAGGAAGGAGGTAAGTGCATGGGTGATAGTGCTCTGTGACCGGTGATAGTGCTCTGTGACCTGCCATGCAGCACAAGTGTTGAATGAGTCACAAAACACTTATATGCACTTGCCCACGCCCAGGACCACACCCACGCCCACCAACGTACACGTTGGGTTGAGCAGTGGCCATGACGAGCGTGCCGGCCTCGGAGTCGATGGTAGCATCCAGCTTGGCCGTGCGGATGAGGTTTGACTCACAAGCCACTCACAGGAACTAGCATGTGAACGTACACATTGGGTTGGGCGGTGGCCATGACGAGGGTACCAGCCTCAGAGTCAATGGTGGCGTCCAGCTCGGCCGTGCGACTCACAAGCTGACTGACATGCCAACTCACACGCACGTGCTCATGCCCATGCACTCAATGCAGCAACGTACACATTGGGTTGTGCGGTGGCCATGACGAGCGTGCCGGCCTCGGAGTCGATGGTAGCATCCAGCTTGGCCGTGCGGATGAGATTCGCCATCCACCTCTCCGCTGCATCTGTCGCCATGCTCAGCTTCTCCGCCACCACCCTGCAGTGAGGTAGAGGGAGTGGGGTGAGTAAGAAGCAACAAGGCGAGGTACACACACATTGAGAGGGTGGGAGAGGCAGACAGTGACCATCCACCTCTCCGCTGCATCCGTTGCCATGCTCAGCTTCTCCGCCACCACCCTGGGAACGGGGGAGGGAGAGAGAAAGGTGGAAGGGGGTGCAGTGTGGTGTGATGGAGAGGCAGACAATGAGCATCACCTATCCGCTGCGTCTGCCGCCATGCTCACTTGATGTCAAATGCGGCGGTGAATGCTGCAGTAGTTTTCAAACATGAGCAGGCGAGCACTGTCAATCACCTCGTCCCTCGGAGGCACTAACTAGAGGTGCAGTGCGGTGAGGTGCAGTGCGGTGAGGTGCAGTGTGGTGAGGTGCAGTGCAGTGAGGTGCAGTGTGGTGAGGTGAGGTGAGGAGAGGTGAAGTGCGGTGAGGCTCACTTGATATCGATGCGGCGGTGAATGCTGCAGTAGTTTTCAAACATGAGCAGGCGAGCACTGTCAATCACCTCGTCCCTCAGAGGCACAGCCACATACCCCCCCTCCGCCACGCGCTTGCCCAGGAAGAAATCGTTCGACAGTAGCTGGAAATGGGGGAGGAAGGGGAAGTAGGGAAAGGGGGAAAAGGGGGATGGGGAAAAGGGGAATGGGAAAATGGGGTGAAACAGGAGAGGGGGGGAGGGACAGCGCCAGGTGAAATTAACTGGAAAGAAGGCAATCTGGAAGGAGGAAAAAGGTGGCGGTAGTGGTATCAGGTAAACTGCAGCTAAACCTGCCACTGGATCTTTACCAAGCCCTTTGTGGCGTCTCAAAAGAACCGATCCTCACCTCTTCGCACTCCTTGAGTCGGCTCTGCGCCTCATCAAAGTCCAAATCAACAACCAGCGCCAGCAGGAATTGCGTGAGCGGGTCGCTGTAGGCATGCCTCTCCGCCTCCACCACCCGCGCCACCTCCTTCACTGCACTGCGCCTGCGCTTGCATGTGAGCACGGCCGCCACCAGGTAGCGCAGCAGATGCTGCGCGTTTGTCTGAATGGCGCTAAGATATCTGCAAAGGGGGCGGGGGTATGGGGAGGAGGGGGCTTGCATGTGAGCACCGCCACCAGGTAGCACAGCAGGTGCTGCGCGTTTGTCTGAATGGCGCTTAGGTACCTGTTGGGGGGGTGGAGTAGGGGGAGGGGAGGGAGGGGCGGATGGGAAGGGGGGGAGGGGGCTTGCATGTGAGCACTGCTGCAACGAGGTAGCGCAACAGATGATGTGCGTTCGTCTGAATAGCGCTCAGGTACCTGACAAGGGGGGGGGAGGAGGAGGAGGGGGGGGGTGGGAAGGGGGAATAAGGGTGGTGGAGTGTAGAGGAGTGGAGGGGGGGAGATAGAAGGGGGGACGAGAGGATTCGAATAGGTGATGGGAAAAGAAAACAGGCGAGATGGTGAGGAGCGGGCAGAGAGCCAAGGAGACAAGGCAAGAGCGTGCGAGGGCGCCTATAGCAGGGCGCGGACGGATGGAGCGCTTACTTGTCCGTTAGGAAGAGGTCGACGAGGTTGGAGCGGCCGTTCTCCGAGTGCAGCATGGCGAAGAGCGCCCAGTGCAGCAGCCACGTGCGCTCCTGCAGCACCGCCAGGGGGGACGCGAAGGTCTGTGGATGTGTGGGAAGGGGGAGGGGGATTGTGGGGGGGTTGAGGGTGTGTGATGTGATAAGCATGGCGAAGAGCGCCCAGTGCAGCAGCCACGTGCGCGCCTGCAGCACCGCCAGGGGTGAGGCAAAGGTCTGAACACGTGAGGTGTGTGGGAGTGGGGGAATTGGGGAAAAAGAGGGGGGGTTAGAAGGGCGGAGCGGGGGTTAGAAGGGGCCGAGGGTGTGGGGTGCAGCATGGCGAAGAGCGCCCAGTGCAGCAGCCACGTGCGCTCCTGCAGCACTGCCAGGGGCGACGCGAAGGTCTGTGGATGCGGGGGGGAGGGGAGAGAGGAGCGGGGTGGGTAAGGGGAGAACAGAGGGTGTGGGGTGAAGCATGGCGAAGAGCGCCCAGTGCAGCAGCCACGTGCGCTGCTATAACACTGCTAGGGGGAACGCGAAGTCTGTATGAGGGGTCGGGGAGGGACGGGAGGAGGGGGAATGGGGGATGGGGTTGGAGGGTAAGGTGGAAACGGATAGTGAAGCATGGCGAAGAGCGCCCAGTGCAGCAGCCACGTGCGCTCCTGCAGCACCGCTAGGGGGGACTCGAAGCTCGAAACAGCATATCCCCTATCCTCCTCTCCTCCTCTCCTTCCCTTTGCGCGCCCCGCCACGCTCTCACTAGTGTGTCTCCCTTTCGCCCTCCCCCTTCACCCCCTTCTCCCCCCCTTTTCCCGACCTCCGCGCCCCCTCCTGCGCGCACCTGCAAGTCAATCATTACTTTCACCCGCGCGAGCTCTTCCCCCGCGGCGTCCCACTTCTGCATCAGAAGCTCCGCTCACTCATGCCACTCCCCTTCCCCCCTTTCTCAATTCCCCCGTCCCCCCTCCCCCGCGCGCGCACCTGTAAATCAATCATCTCCTTCACGCGCGCGAGCTTCTCCCCCGCGACGTCCCAGTTCTGCATCAGCAGCTCCGCGGCCAGCTTGCCCCACGACGCCCTTCCCCCCCGCTCCCCTCCCCTCACTCCCCCTTGGTCTCCCCCTCGCCTTCCCCCGTCCCTTTCACACCCTCCTCCCTTTCCCCTTCCCCTCTTCCCCTATTCCACCCCCCCCCTCCCCTCTCTCCCCTCTGCGCGCACCTGCGAGTCGATCATTTCCTTGACCCGCGAAAGCTCCTCCCCCGCCGCGTCCCAGTTCTGCATCAGCAGCTCCGCCGCCAGCTCGCCCCACGACGCACCTTGCCCCCCTTTCCCCATTTCGCACCTGCGAATCGATCATCTCCTTGACGCGCGAAAGCTCCTCCCCCGCGGCGTCCCAGTTCTGCATGAGCAGCTCCGCCGCCAGTTTGCCCCACGACGCGCTGAGCGCGCGCTGCGGCGAGGAGCAGAGGAGGCGGTACTGGTAGAGGAAGTCCGCGGCGCCGCTGTAGTTGCCGCACTCGAACTGGAACTTGGCGTACCAATAGAGCGCCTCCACGCCCTCCGCGCCGATCTGGGGGAAAGAAGAGGGGGAAGTGCGGGGGAGGGAAGGGCGGGTAGGTGGGCCGGGTTGGCAGGGGGGAAGGGCGCCGCTGTAGTTGCCGCACTCGAACTGGAACTTGGCGTACCAATAGAAAGCCTCCACTCCCTCCGCGCCGATCTGCGGGCGCGCGCGGGTGG